ATCAATCTTCACTGAGCAATCGTAATGGGTCATGCATCGCTCATTCTCCCTAGGTGTACGGTTTGATTCGATTTCATCCATAGGGAAAGTCTGAGCCCAGCAACGGAGAGATTAATAGGCTGTGAAACACTTTCTTTCTTTCTCATTATGAATTAATAATGAACTATGAATAACACGATTTAAACAACGAAATACTTTTTTTTTAAATGAAACTTGAGAGTCGCAAATTTATATGTATCTATAGGGCATACTGGGCCGCGTGACTGGTGCTCTATTGTTGAGTGATCTTTTTTTTTAAAATATTAATAGAATCTGTAAAATTATTATAGATTAAATTATTTTAAATAACCGTAAGTAAAACAAATAAACAAACAACGGAAGAAACTTTTCATCCTTTCAACCTCTTCATAATATTAATATAAATATTATAGATTTGTTTTACACAAGACTGATTTAATGCACACCGTGCACATAAATTATGATACCGTATAATTATAACCAAGGGCGCTGCTCTGAGATACTACAACGTAAAGTAAATAATCAATTATATAAAAAATCTTTTGTATAACAGACGAGGAAGTAAAATAAAAATATATGATCTATTAACTTAAAGTGCCTGAGTATTTTAATTTTTCACGAATAAATATTTAGTTTAAATAATAACAATTACTAATAATTTGAACCATCATCAAAATAGACAGAAGAAATTTTCAAACTTTCATATAGTGGAACAAACACATTCAGAAATTGCTTGAAGCTCGTTTTGCACCGCCGCCGCCACTAGGGGTGCGACCGCCTGTCACTCTAGCCACGATTCTAGTGATAGGATACGATATCTTATCGTTGTTATGGCGATATTTCGTTTTATTTTACTACTTCGACATGATTTTTATTGGTCTTTAGGCGGATAAATGACTGTTGGTAACACTGTTGTCAAATCTATTCGCATCATTCCCTATCATTTGTGCATCCTTATACATGTCGCAGAAAATGAAATATTATGTTTTATAGGCGGTCTTTAAGTTAGGCAGAGCAAAGTTTCAATGTGCACAAGATTTATTAGCACTAAGGTTCTAAAATTCATAAGTGTCGAAAGTCAAAATGGTTCTTAGGTGTATTGCTCGTTTTTGAATCAAAAGGTCATAAACATTGGAGAACTCTATCTACAATAATATCCCTTTAAAATTTTTAGAATTTGTAACCAACACGTTTTTTTTTTTTTGTGTTGTATTCATCTTTAGGTATTAATAATAGAAAAGGAAATATATAGTTTGCCTACGTGAAGATATTTCATATGCTATATATTAAGGCAAGGTTAAAGAACAGCTATTATCTACACTAATATTATAAAGAGGAAAACTCCTTCAAACAAAATCATTCCGCTCTCAGCTTTCGTTGCGCGCCCCCGTGCGCGTACACGACTCTCTCCTACCCAAACTGTGAGTACTCTCGTGCCGTCTGCACACCCCGAGCGCAGGCCCTGCTGATTTTGTTTTTCTCAAAACATTAAACCAGCAGGACTTGACTCACTCTCAAGTTCTTGAGTTGGTGGATACCTAACGGTGGCAACTAAGCCAACTGAGCGATCCCGGTGCGCTCGCTAAGGCCCTTCAGGCTTTAGCAACACCGAAGACCCGATCCCAGTGCACTTGGGCCTTGTCCCAAGGGTGAAAGTTTGCCGCTATATCCATTAGGGATAGCCGCATTTTTCCGCGTCGCGTTTTCCCCCCTCGCTCCGGCGCGGGGTAGGTCTTTTGCACACTCGCCCTATCTCCCTCTAACCTACCAAGGTAGGTGTGACGGAGAGAAGTGCGAGTGAAATACAACTACTCCTCTCTCTCTTTTGCATCTAACGATTTGCATTGCCGATATGTCAGATATATTAAAGTCAAATAAACGCCTATTCGACGAGATACGGCGCATATTGCCTGATAGTGACTACCAAAGAGTCATTACCTTGACGATGGCTCCAGCACAGGCATCGTCCGTCCCCCCAACTTCCGATATGGAGTGCGAAAGCACATCCATAAAGAGGACCGCTTCTCAGCGGTCCCCCTCCTGCCCCTCTGCACCGTCGGACGACGACCTTCTCAGGACGTCTGATTCCGACGAATCCTCGGGCACATTTCATACGGTTAGAAGCCGTAAGAAGCATCGTAAGCCACGCTCTCCCAGAGCAAGTGCGAACGCTTCCACGGAAAACGTCTCTCCAAAGCCCCGCACATCGGACGGGGTGACCTCGGTAAGCAAAACCGCCGAGAAAACCTCCCTCGGCCCAAACCTTACCAGAGGCAATACCGGCAAGAAAGCCACTCGGGAGAATACTCCTAGTATTACTCCCTCCTTCACCCCGCTGCGGCCGCATAATAAATGCAATCCGCAGCCGGGTAAACCCAAACCTCCGCCTCCCGTATTTATACGGGACAAATCAAGGTGGGCAGAGGTCTCGAATCTCTGCTCACAAAATAAGATCAACTACACCCATGCCAAAAACATGGGTATAGCTATCCGGGTTGAAACACCCACTAGTGAGGACTATAAAGCCCTCACCAGACTCCTAACCCACCACAAGGTGGGTTATCATACCTACGCTCTCCCAGAAGAGCGCAAAGTTCGTGCGGTTCTGAGAAATGTTCCGTACGAGCTCGCCACCGACCTGATCCATAAGGATCTAAACGAACAGGGATTCCCTGTAGAATCCGTACACAAGATGCACAGTAGAGCCGGCAGGCCTTTCCCACTGGCTCTACTCGTCATCCCAAATGTCCCGAACGCTCGTGACATTTTTAAAACTAAAGACCTTAGGGTCTGCGGCCTTACTGGGGTCAAAGTAGAACCCCCTCACCGACGCGGTACTCCGGGACAGTGCCACCGATGCCAACTTTACGGGCATGCGGCGGCTAACTGCTCCGCGACTCCGAGGTGCGTAAAGTGCCTCGAGTCACATCCTACAAAGGAGTGCTCTCGAACCCGAGACACTCTCACCCCTCCGGCCTGTGTATTGTGTGGCCAAATCGGCCACACTGCCAACTACAAAGGTTGCCCACGAGCGCCGAAGCCCAAACCCTCTTCTAAGAAGAGGGCTAAGGGCCCGGTGGTCAACAAAGCGCCTAAAGCCCCCCCCCCCCCCCCCCGCCCACTGCGGCGAACTTCCCCGCCTTACCAAAGGCGAACCACTCCGCCCCCAAACCGGCTTCACAACCGGTATGGGGTCCCCCTCCGAAACCCTCCCAGACGAAGCCTTCACCAAAGGCTTCCGTCCCACCTCCCAAAACCGCTCCTGTTCCTTCATCTATAGCCGATGACATAAATCTAGTCCTCAACTTGATTCGTGGAATCGACATAGATGAAATCACCACCCTAGCGGCTAAGCTCCGCCGCGCTTCGTCCACACAGGAACGCCTTCTGGCGCTGTGTGAACACGAAGCGTTACTAAGTGCATTATCAAAGCACTAACAACATGATAGGTCTCCCAAACCCAGTAGGCCAATCCACCCCCATCATACTGACCCTTCAGGTCAACCCTCTCTGCCCTCTCGACCTGACATCCCTTCAGGATGCAGGCCACACAAATTGTTACGGGTATCTAATAGCACCCTTCTGGTGGTATGAGATGCTCCCCTCCCTGCCCTCCACACGCCGACCCTTCAGGTCACACCCCCCGTCCGATCCGGCTGATCGTTCCCCTTCAGGGAGTCAGCTGTACTTCAATCCGGTGTGCCGAGCCCCCCGGGGTTAACGGCTAACATCTCGACGTCACTATTCATAGTAGTTCATAGTAGTAAGTGTTTAGAGACGTCTGCGCCGCCCCCCCCCTTGAGGGGGGGCGGTCGCTCCGGTTGAAGGTTCGTTGCCTCCGGGTATGTAACCATTAGTCCAAGGCGGTGTTTAGTCAGTAGGAGTCTGACATAACCCTCACAGCCGGCTGTGTTGGTATCCAATGAAGGATTCACCGCCTCCTTCCTCCGTTGATGGGAAGGTGGTTCCGAGCCCATAAGGTTGAGAACCGAAAAAAAAAAAAAAAAAGAGGAAAACTTTGTTTGCTTGAAAAGCTACATTATCCACGAGTAACATAGGCTATGTTTTATTTTGAAAAAATAGGGTTCCATAAGATATTTGGGTTTTTCGGCCACAAGGTGTAAAAAATCAACCAGAAAGTTACTTATTTTGCGTACTCTAAACTATAAAATGATGTAATTGATTGTAGATCTTATAAATATCTACAAAAAAGTCCGCCACACACTATACCTATCAATGTTGAGTGCGGCACAACAATCATTGTTTTGGGGGGTGCGCATGCGGGAGGGGAGTTTAGATCTATGATAAGGTACCAGCGGACCACGCGGGCGAAGCCGCAAACGGAAATCTAGTCGTTGCTAATTCTGTGATTCAAATAGTCTATTCCTTTTCCAATCACTATCATTAGTGTATAGAAATCCAGTCCTCCCCTATGGGTAGACTCAAAAAGAGAGAGCGGGCGATAACTATACTATAGTAGCCGAAGATGTCAATTTTTTGGTCACCCATCTTATACGAGCAAGCGCGTACATTTACCGCATCATCATTTTACGTCATAAAAATTATTTTAATTCAGTTCGTGTTCGAATATCATAGCAATCGCGCGTACTCATCTCATTATTTTCATATAAATATATTTGTTTTAAATTAATCAAATACTTTCAATTATGACTATTAATATCATAAAAGACTGTGCAAACCGTACATGTTTTTGGTCCTTCGATTAAGGGCCTCACGAGTGACTCAGTGTATAAACGTGGAATATAAGAAAACCGTGACTGTGTTACAAGTGAGGTCGACTTGTGCATCGCAGACCGAGCGGTCATTAACTTATATTTAATAGAACTATAAAATTTCTCCAATTGATTTTGAACCTTAATTGATAACAGATAAAGTTCAGAATCATCTGCATAGACATATTAGGGTAAGCTAACGTATTGGTGTGTGTTCTAAACATGTTTACATAAATAAAAGATGGTATTAAATACTAATTTGTTTATTATTCTAAACTGGGTATCTCCACTTTGTAGCAGGTAATTCCGCGTGATAGAAGTTGCATTCCAATTTGTTGAGACAGGCAGGGCCGTACCGACACGGCTTGGGGTGGTAGAACAAACATCCAGGGTTGACACAATTCGGGTAAAACTTGCACATACTCGGCATTGCAGCTGTTGATATACTCTTGTAATTAGCTGCGGGAACTACGTGGGATGCTGTGGGAAAGAAAAATCACAATTTATTTATGCGGAAAGTCAAGGTATTTCGTTTATAGTATCAAAAGGTGGCGCTGGAGTTAAAAAAAACGTCTAAATCGTCCCGGTCGCTCTCGAGTTTTATGATTTTTAGCGAGACAAACGAACAGCAATTGATTTTTCGATATATAGATTACTTAAGAATAATCAATTTAATAATTATTTGAAACTGCGTTTTAGTTCGATCTTCAATACACATGAATAAGGTACTGCAAGCAGAGTTGCTCGGTGGCGTAGTGGATTAGCGCCACGGTCCGCGATCGTTGCCATTAACAAGGGACCGAGCACGGGATGGGTGATCAAAAAATTAAGGCACATGTTTCGGAATGTGCGAGTACACGCAGCCGCGGCGCGTGCACGCCGCAGCAAACTTGCAGCGCGGGTGCTGCAACGGCACGCGGCACTATGTATAGGGTACTCACACAGTGTGGGCGCGGCGTGCGAGTACACGCAGCCGCGGCGCGTGCACGCCGCAGCAAACTTGCAGCGCGGGTGCTGCAACGGCACGCGGCACTATGTATAGGGTACTCACACAGTGTGGGCGCGGCGTGCGAGTACACGCAGCCGCGGCGCGTGCACGCCGCAGCAAACTTGCAGCGCGGGTGCTGCAACGGCACGCGGCACTATGTATAGGGTACTCACACAGTGTGGGCGCGGCGTGCGAGTACACGCAGCCGCGGCGCGTGCACGCCGCAGCAAACTTGCAGCGCGGGTGCTGCAACGGCACGCGGCACTATGTATAGGGTACTCACACAGTGTGGGCGCGGCGTGCGAGTACACGCAGCCGCGGCGCGTGCACGCCGCAGCAAACTTGCAGCGCGGGTGCTGCAACGGCACGCGGCACTATGTATAGGGTACTCACACAGTGTGGGCGCGGCGTGCGAGTACACGCAGCCGCGGCGCGTGCACGCCGCAGCAAACTTGCAGCGCGGGTGCTGCAACGGCACGCGGCACTATGTATAGGGTACTCACACAGTGTGGGCGCGGCGTGCGAGTACACGCAGCCGCGGCGCGTGCACGCCGCAGCAAACTTGCAGCGCGGGTGCTGCAACGGCACGCGGCACTATGTATAGGGTACTCACACAGTGTGGGCGCGGCGTGCGAGTACACGCAGCCGCGGCGCGTGCACGCCGCAGCAAACTTGCAGCGCGGGTGCTGCAACGGCACGCGGCACTATGTATAGGGTACTCACACAGTGTGGGCGCGGCGTGCGAGTACACGCAGCCGCGGCGCGTGCACGCCGCAGCAAACTTGCAGCGCGGGTGCTGCAACGGCACGCGGCACTATGTATAGGGTACTCACACAGTGTGGGCGCGGCGTGCGAGTACACGCAGCCGCGGCGCGTGCACGCCGCAGCAAACTTGCAGCGCGGGTGCTGCAACGGCACGCGGCACTATGTATAGGGTACTCACACAGTGTGGGCGCGGCGTGCGAGTACACGCAGCCGCGGCGCGTGCACGCCGCAGCAAACTTGCAGCGCGGGTGCTGCAACGGCACGCGGCACTATGTATAGGGTACTCACACAGTGTTAAGAATGAATAGTTATTGTTTCGGCTACTAGATAGCGCTACATTATTTGTACATTGCGGTATGGTTTCACTTGTTTTTGTAAATATATAGTCTATTATGAAATTGTACTGTTTGGCACTTTAATACATCATTTTAATGAAAACTATTTTGTTTCTTTTCTATAAATCTTTTTGGGACAGTGTTCATTGGTCCTTCGAGCCGGATTAAGGCTACCTTAGAGGGAAGTGTTCAGCTGGCCGTCGATGTAACACCGACGTGTAGACGGATTGTCTATTATGGTGTTGTCTCTGCTGCAGCAGTGAAGTTGAGAAAATTCAAAGGGTTCGTGTCGATGTTGAAGTAAACCCAAAAGGACGCGGCGCTGGCAGTGGAGAAAGCAGGTGGCTGGATACGGAACTAAACTGGTATTGAATACGGTAAAAACAGTGAGTGAATTTGAACTTTATTTGTTAAGAAGAACCATCAAGCGGCGTGAAACTTAGAAGAAATTTGGACTTAGAGTAATTAGATTAATTTAGTATAGTAGTTTGAACTTGTAAAATTTTAGGCTAAAACCTGTATAGACGGGGAACCTATGCCCGATTTTCAAATTAGTAAGTGTTCGTTTTTCAAACACTTAGAAAATTTTGCAACTTGAATTTTAGGGCTTAGAATATTTTTTGCAAATTTTGTATCGTACATTCTAAGGTGAATTGCTTAGGACATAAATTGTTGTAAGGTGTCTATGAATTTTATTGTTTTGACATTGGTATATTTAGTTAAGTGAGTTGCGTTCATCTGTTGCTAATAACCTAATTTGAAATTGTTATAATATTCTATGTTTAAAGACAATTCATTTCAATCTATATCAAGTAGTTCAGAAGTAAATATGGAGGCGTTATCTAAGTTACAGGACGATATTAAGTCTGTTATTTCTAAAGGTAAAATTAATTTTAAAAAGTCGCCAAAAGAACGACTCACTCAAGGTTATATAGAGACAAGGTTAGAAAGCTTGGAAGAGCAATGAAAAGCTTTTGTTGATACGCACCGTACTATGTTAACTGATATAGATGCTTTGGAATATAAAAATTCTATTTATTGCAAAAATGAAATGTATGAAACTACACAAGAATTATATTGTGATTATAAGTCTGAGTTGAAAGATACCTTACATCGTGTTCTAAAGTCACAAAATTTAGTTTGTGATAGTAATGTTATAGCTCATAGTTCACAGTTTTCTCCACCTATTAATACTGCGACAGGTTTTAATGTGAAGTTACCGAAAATTACTATTCCAACATTTAGTGGCAAGTATACAGAGTGGACAACTTTTAAAGATTTGTTTATTTCGTTAGTCCATAATAATTCAAATTTGGAAAATGTTCATAAGTTGCATTATTTGAAAGCTCATTTATCTGGTGAAGCGGAACAGTTATTAAGACATGTACCTGTTACGGAAGCAAATTACGTAGAGTCTTGGTCAATTTTAAATAAAAGGTACAGTAATAAAAAGTTTCTATCTAACTGTTTACTTAAGCGTCTCATTAGTCAATCTAGTATTACGGTAGAGTCCTCGGGTGCTATAAAATCTTTATTAGATACAACAGTTGATTGTTTAAATGGGTTAAAAAATTTAGACCTTTGCACTGAATCGTGGGATGCTATTGTGATTTTTATAATTAGTTCTAAACTAGATTCAGAGTCACGCAAGATATGGGAGGCACAAATAAGTACATCGGATGAGCTTCCTTCAATGCAACAGTTTAAAGAGTTTTTAGAGCAGCGTTTTAGGTCGTTAGAATTTTTGCCTAAAGCTCAACAGCCATATATGATTCGTAAGAATAATTTTGTAAATACAAAAATCCATGTAGCCACAACAATTTCATGTGTTTTCTGCTCAGAAAGTCACAAACTCTGTAACTGTAAAAGTTTCACAAAGCAAAGTGTTGAAGCACGTCGTAATTTTATTCAAACAAATCATCTTTGCTTTAATTGTATGGGTCCAAATCATTCCGTATTCACATGCCGTCAAACCTCTAGGTGCCATATATGTAAGAAAAAACATCATTCACTATTACATTATAGTGTCCCAAAATCAACGGAAAATAATGTTGTGGATTCATCCGTTGACAAAAGTGCCATTGTAGTAGCTACTACTTCCTCGTCTAGTAAATCTAATGATACTAAGAACGTGGATCACATAGTAGCATGTCATTCAAATAATCATAGTCAAATTCTTTTGGCTACTGCGTTAGTTAGAGTACAGTCTAAGTCGGGAAATCAATGTACTCTCAGATCCTTGATTGATCCTGGATCTCAGGCTTCATTTATTACAGAGACCGCTGTCCAATCGCTTGGTCTTAAAAAGCTTCCAGCTAAAGTACACATTTCAGGAGTAGGCGATCATAGCGACTCTGTAGTATCGAAGTCATCAGTTTGTTTCAACTTTCATTCTATACACGATCTCAATTTTGTTGTAGACGTCAGGGCTCATGTATTGAATAAATTAACGTCGGTGTTGCCGACTCAAAAAGTAAATTTTGATAAGTATCCACAGTTAGTTGGGATAAATTTAGCGGATCCTGATTTCCATACTCCTAATAAAATTGATTTGCTTCTGGGAGCTGATATATTCGGTCAAATTTTAGTTGAAGGTTTAATCAAGGGTCCTCCAGGTACTCCAGTAGCTCAGAATACTAAGCTTGGATGGATTCTATTTGGCCAGGTTACTTCAAAACCTTTGGGCAGCTCTCAGTCGTTTAATGAAAACAAGATTATCAGCATGCACGCTTGTGTTGATAATGATGACCTACTCAAAAAATTTTGGGAGTTGGAGTCGGAGCCTTCAGTAATTCATAAAAAGATATTTACTGAAGAAGAACAAGAATGCGAAAGAATTTTTGCAGAAACGACTACTAGAGATTGCTCTGGTAGGTATATAGTTAAACTTCCATTTCGCTCTTCTGATCCTCAATGTAAATATGGTAACTCACAGATTATTGCAGCTAAGAGACTCCAGTATCTGGAAAAGAAATTATTAAAGGATCTTGAATTAAAAGAACAATACTCACAGGTAATTTCTGAGTACCTTGAGCTCAATCATATGGAGGTTGTTCCTGAAAATCAAAAGTCAATGCCAGGATCAGTATATTTACCTCACCATGCTGTCGTGCGTAAGGACAGGACAACGTCTCAAGTCCGTGTAGTCTTTAATGCTTCATCTCCTGGATTAAATGGTGTGTCATTAAATGATGATCTTTTGGTGGGACCTAGTTTGCAGATGGATCTAAGGCATATTATCATGCGATGGAGACGACATCCAATTGCACTAAACGCGGACATTGTGAAAATGTACCGCCAAGTAAAGGTGATGGATGAAGATGCTGATTTTCAGAGGATATTGTGGTCCGATGGTAATAAAATTCAGCACTACAGACTACTACGACTTACCTTCGGTACAGCGAGTGCTCCTTATCTTGCAGTTCGGGCATTGCATCAGTTAGCTTACGATGAAGGTGAATCATATCCAGAAGTAGCTAATAATGTTTTACAAGACTTTTATATGGATGACTTAATGTCTGGCTGTCATGATGTTGAAGAAGGCCTGAAACTATATAAAGAGTTTAATGAATTAATGGAAAAAGGCGGTTTTAAATTACAAAAATGGGGTTCAAGTAGCAAGGAATTCATGCAAAAATTAAATAATGGACAAAAAGAAAAAGGAAAAGGAGAATCTACAATAGAAAAAATAAATAAGTTAGAAATAGGATCGGAAAAGGATAAAAATGAAATTAAGAAAGTTTTAGGTTTAAGATGGAATAATGCAACTGATGAGTTTGAATATATGGTATGCCTGCCAGAAGTAAATACACCAGTTACAAAAAGAAAGGTAGTTTCTGATATCTCCCGATTGTACGATCCATTAGGCTGGATAGCACCGTCTATAATTCAAGCGAAAATTTTTATACAGAAATTATGGATGGCTGGGATAGAATGGGATCAAGAATTACCTAATAATTTACTACAGGAATGGCTTACATACAGGGATAAACTTACCTTAATTACTGAATTCACTGTACCTCGATGGATGCGCACTAGTCGTGAAGATGTTTGTGTAGAACTTCATGGGTTCTGCGATGCGTCGAATGATGCATATGCGGCGGTGGTGTACATTCGAGTTGTAGATTGTAATGCCAAGGTACATGTCAATCTCATTACATCAAAAACGAGAGTTTCACCGATAAAACAAGTTTCGGTACCACGTTTGGAACTGTGTGGGGCGGTATTGTTGGCAAAATTATTGTTTGAAGTGTCTGAAGTGTTAGGGGTATCGCGTGATCATGTTCATGCATGGACTGATTCTCAGGTGGTGCTAGCATGGCTTAGTAGTCACCCTAGTCGATGGAAGACCTTCATTGCTAATAGGGTATCTGAAATACTTACTTTGTTTGATAGGAAACAGTGGTCACACGTTCGTTCCTCCGAAAATCCTGCCGACTGTGCATCACGTGGCATTCAGCCATTCAAAATAACTGAAATCAAACTGTGGAAATATGGCCCATCTTGGTTACTAGAAAAAGATATTAAATACAGTCCACTGAGTTACAACAATCATGATACAAAGTTAGAAGAAAGGGCTAAAATAGAAACAGTGTTTGCTCTTACGAACATTCCAGAGGACGAATTTTATAAAAGATTTTCATCGTTTCGAAAACTAATAAGAGTTTTGTCATATTGTCGTCGATTTATTAAAACTGTATATTTAAAAACTAAAAATAATTCATTGCCTTATTTTACTAAATGGCTTACTAGTGCAGAGTTACAAGAGACAACAAAAATTGTCATTAAAGAAAATCAACAATTACATTTCAAAGATGAGATTAATTGTCTTACATCAAATACACCAATCAACAAGAAAAGTAAGCTGCGCAGTCTTAATCCCTATGTGGACGGAAACGGAGTCCTCAGGGTGGGGGGAAGATTACAAAAATCACAGCTTACTTCTAATGTTATTAATCCAATCTTGATTCCGTACAAGTCTAACTTGACCAACCTCTTAATTTCTGATGCTCACGAAAGAACGCTTCATGGTGGTCCTCAGCTGATGTTAAATTTTCTTCGTTCCAAATACTGGATAATAAATGCAAGAAGAGCGGTAAAAGCATGTATCCACAAATGCGTGATTTGTACTCGATATTCGTCACAGTCTTCTAATCAACTTATGGGTCAACTTCCATCAGCTAGGGTTAACCCAAGTCGACCATTTTTACATAGTGGCGTTGATTATGCTGGTCCAATAGCAATCAGGACTACTAAAGGAAGAGGTCATCGCTCTACAAAAGGGTATATTTGCCTTTTCATATGTATGTCTTCTAAGGCTATACATTTAGAAGCTGTCAGCAATTTAACATCACAAGCTTTCATAGCTGCATTCAAAAGGTTTGTCGCTAGACGTGGTCATTGCTCAGACTTATGGAGTGACAATGGCACAAATTTTATAGGCGCAGCACGGGAGTTGAGAAATATGCTAACTAGTGAGAGATCTCAAATTGATACAGAAATTGCAGACTGGTTAGCTACCAATGGAACAGAATGGCACTTCATTCCACCTCACGCTCCGAATTTTGGAGGATTGTGGGAAGCTGGAGTGAAGTCCACAAAGTACCATTTAAGGAGAGTTGTTGGTACTTCCACACTTACGTTTGAGGAGATCACAACAGTTTTAACCCAAATTGAGGCCTGTCTCAATTCGAGACCAATCACAAAGTTAAGTGAGGACTCAAGCGATCCTTATCCTCTAACTCCAGGACATTTTTTAGTAGGTGGTCCACTGGTGCTCGTACCTGACACCAATTATGAATCATCAAATATTAATAGTTTAAGGAGGTGGCAATATACACAAAAAATGGTACAAGATTTTTGGCGTAGGTGGTCAAAAGAGTATCTAGTTCAATTTCATCAACGTCAAATTTGTGGGCGCGGCGTGCGAGTACACGCAGCCGCGGCGCGTGCACGCCGCAGCAAACTTGCAGCGCGGGTGCTGCAACGGCACGCGGCACTATGTATAGGGTACTCACACAGTGTGGGCGCGGCGTGCGAGTACACGCAGCCGCGGCGCGTGCACGCCGCAGCAAACTTGCAGCGCGGGTGCTGCAACGGCACGCGGCACTATGTATAGGGTACTCACACAGTGTGGGCGCGGCGTGCGAGTACACGCAGCCGCGGCGCGTGCACGCCGCAGCAAACTTGCAGCGCGGGTGCTGCAACGGCACGCGGCACTATGTATAGGGTACTCACACAGTGTGGGCGCGGCGTGCGAGTACACGCAGCCGCGGCGCGTGCACGCCGCAGCAAACTTGCAGCGCGAGTGCTGCAACGGCACGCGGCACTATGTATAGGGTACTCACACAGTGTGGGCGCGGCGTGCGAGTACACGCAGCCGCGGCGCGTGCACGCCGCAGCAAACTTGCAGCGCGGGTGCTGGAACGCGCACGCGGCCCCGTACCGGCACAACGGGAACGCGCGGCACCACACGGACTTGCCACCGGTAGCCGCTGACACTTCAACAACAAACAATACATTTACTGTTAATGCTTAACATTATTACAAAATGCAACATTTTAGCACATTAGAGATGCGCCGAATATTCGTTTCGTCATCTTTTTCACTATTGTGAGATGTATTCGGCCGAAGTGACCAATAGATTCGGTTCGAGTACTCATATTTTCTTGACTACACAACACGGCATAGAACTAAAAGACAAAACTTCTGGAGGAGGACTAAAATAAATATTAAAAATTCAAAAAATCCTATGAAAAACTATAGTCAACATTTTTAACATAACAAACAAATGACAGAAAAACGTAAACTAAAAGAAATTAAAATAAAAGATAATCAAAGAGAAACATATTTATAATTAATAAGTAGTAAATTATGGTGCAAAAACACCAAGCTCTCGCCTCTCTTCGGCAAGTCAATTGTATATTCTTTATATACTTTATACACACCATATTACCTCGTCATTGAGAAACTCTGGCTAAATTAAAATAATAAAATGATATACTGAATAATTTGGCCGAATATACAGTTCGGTTCAGTCAACCGAAAATGAACCAAAGAATACTTTTTCTGATTGACAGACTAAACAGTTTTCTTTTTTTACCCAGGCATCATTCCTATTTTATGTCAAATAACACTATGATAAGAAGTATTTCCATAAAGTGTGGACTTGGAAATATTACTGACTCGGGAGATTGAGATCTGACTGGAGAGTTGAGCAATGTATGTGATGTTGTTAATACTCTAGATTCATCTGATACTTTTAAAAATGTTTATTAATTATTTTTATTGCAAAATAATATAGGGCAAATAACAATAAAATTGTGTTTGATGTTATTTATATATGCGATTCAATACTACTTCCCAGCATTTCACAATGTAGATAAGATACTCTGATCAGAAATATTGGAATTCATGGTACTTAATAATTAAAAACCTATACAAATGAAAATAAAGCTCATATGGAAAAAATAAATTAAATACAAACTATAAAAATATACTTACATGGAGGCACTGAATCGTATTTATGTAACTTCGTCGCTGTTGCAACTACGACATGATTGTCAGTACTGCTAACACTTTCTGTCCTCTCCCTCTCTTTCTGGACTTCTTTATTTTTCACATCAAAGACAATAGGAGATCCTTTCCTCTTTTTCACAGCCGTATTATCATCAAGTGTAATATCACTCTTTCTCTTTTCGACTTTCTGAACTGGACTAGTATCGGTTGCTTCCTCTTTTTCTTGTTTTATAATCACTTGAGTTTCACTCTCTTCACTTTCATTACTTAAACGTTTCTTATCAACACTGGGTTTTTCTGCTAACTGTTCGGTGTGAGTTTTAGTAGTTGGAACAACTTCTTTGGTTTTCGTGTCATCTTTAGTTTTCAATACTGATGTTGTCTCTTTAGGCGTATCACTAACTTCATCTTCATCATTCAGAATTCCTTCGGTCATGAGTTTCTTAGCTAGAAATGCGTTTGGATTGAATCCATCCATTGTGACTATGAATTGTGTGTTTTTATCCTTGTCTACTGTTGGATTGTGGATATTACTGTAAATAAAGTTATAGGATTATTTGTAAATTTGATAAGAAGAAGAGTAGAGACTTGACGACACTTTGGCAAATAGAAAAATATATACATTTATTTGCAATGACAGATATATCGATATAAAAACCGACCAAGTGTGCGCATAAAAATACTCAGGTACTTTGTGCGCGAGTCCGACTCAGATTCGCGCACAAAGGGTTCCGTACTGGAAACAAGCAAATAAATAACATTTGTTGTATGGGAGCCTCCTTATATATTTATTTTATGCTGGTTTTTAGTGTTTATTGTTGAAGCAGCAAGACAAATACATCATATGTGAAAATTTCAACTGTCTAACTTTCACGATTCATGAGATGCGGCCTGGTGACAGACAGACAGACAGACAGCGAATTCTTAGTAATCCGGTTCCCGTTTTACACTTCGGGCATGGAACCTTTAAACTGGGTGTCCTCTTCGACATCAGAATTACGGTAATCAGAGAGTTTAATGTTCTCAATTCCTTATTCCTAAGAAAGTAATGGCATTATGGAAAACTATAAACTCCCATTTTTGCAATTTGGTTTCATATTAAACAGATCGGTGAACTTACATAGTCTCTATGATGAGGGAATCGTCTCGCCGACTGGCGGTTCTTCCTTCATTACGTGTGGACGGTACGTAGTTTGTATTCTTGATCTTCCTCGTTATTGGCTTATGCATAAAGTCGTCCTTCATATCACTGTTTAGTCTGAAACAAATGAATCTTGTATGTAGAAAATTGTATTCACAGAAAGAAAATTTATACAATAGAGGATCATACAGTAATTAAATAAAAAATCAAATTGTATGTGATTAAAAAGTTCATAAAGTAAAGATTATTCCCCAAATATATTTTTGCTAAATAACTATGATTTGTATTATTAAATCAATAAATAAAAATATAATTCTTAATGACAAATGCTTAAAGAAACCCACTTTGTCCCTTGGCACTCCGAGATGGGACTTGAATACATAACCTTTTGCAATCCAAGTGACTACTCTAACCACTTCTTTATCTCACAAATGAATTTACATATATTTATTTTTTGGGAATAAGCGCACATAATGTTTAATTTAAAACACTTTTTAAAATGATGTCCGATTCCCTATTTAGCTTGTGTATTATTCCGTTTACAATAAGATTTAAATTTATATATTTTTTACCAAGAGTACAATATCGCATGCAATTTGAATAAGGAAAATATACACCACACAGTAAGTCTTTTGGAGAATTTCTCCCCTTCATTGGACAGGAGATAAAAGCCTAAGTTCCTCTGTACTTTGGACAGTTACCAAACATAATAAAACTGTGGAAACTTACTTGGAGTCTTTATCTTCATCACTGTCTATATCTAGACTGATATTATCACTGTGCGTGTCTTGCACTCGTTCTCCTGTAGGCACTTGTATTACTATCTTTGGATCGCCAACACGTCTCATTGGCAGTACTAAAGCGCGTTTCACCTTTTGCGGCTCCGGATCCACTTTAGGTGGAATCTGACAAACAAATATGACTATAAATCTCTAGTGGATTTTAGTTAATTCACTTAGAAAAACGCTTAAAATGAAATGTCGGTTTCATTTGTTCTGACACTCAATAGATGGCACTGTTTTAATTTTATGACTAATTAAATGTCTATACTAGTTCATCGTGATATGGTTTTGGTTTATTTAAGATTTTGCATACTTTCGTTTGTCCAAATCAAAAAAGGTACTCAAGAAAGTACAACCTCATAGATTTAGATATATAAATGTAAATCTATCTATTTATTGCAGCTATCCCTGCAACAATATTTTGTTGTAATCTTTATGTCAATCTATCCATAGAATAATGTTACATTTGGTTAAGTCATATCAGTTTCATAGTCTATCTAAATAGTTTTACTGGCATATATATTAAATTATACAAGTTGTTCACCAGCGACTTTGCCCGTGTATATTAAACACTATGTGTCCCGCGTATGATGTAGCTAGCAGTAGATGAAATGATTTTTAAGATCGGTCTGGTAGTTTGTCTATTTGTTGCAAACAACCAATCAAATCTTTATAATATTAGTATAGAAGTATAGATTAGCTGTCTGTAAACATTGTTTTGCTTATAAATTTAGGGTAACCTTATAAATTTATCAGTAAGGGGTATAATAAATATATAATAATCTATTCTCAGATCTACTAACTATACATATAAAATTTCACTAAAATCTTTCAAGCCATTTCGGTGGATAGTAATTAAAACAGTGACATGAAAATCCGCAGACAAATCGCTTTCTTAAAAATTACAGATTACACAGATATAGAGTATCTCGGTGACGTAGTGGGTAAGCGCCGCGTCCCGTGATCGGTTGTTAAGCAACTTTCGCAAGTGTCAGTCACGGGATGGGTGACAAAAAAAATATCTACGTGCTTCGGAAGGTACGTTAAGCCTTTGGTTTCGGCTGCATTTGCAGTCGTTAATACCCTCCAATCCGCATTGTACCAGTGTGGAGAGTCAAGGCCCATCCTCCTTAATCCAAAATGAAGGCTGATGATGACGACAGATTTACTAGTTACTTTGGACAGATAATTTTGTACTTTGGACAGGTCGATGTAGACTTTATGACAGTTTACTTACATTTAACAAGCTCTTATGTGCATCTGCGACCGCTCGCAGCAACAGTGTGGAAGCGGGAGCGGCGCGACGCGGCCGCGGTCTCACTCGCACCACGCTCGCACAACCCGGCCGAGTCGCGCGACTCTCCAATACCGATACACTAGAATCACAACCAAAGGCCTTAATACTTAATACAATAAACGGAAATAAATACATTTTTTTTGTCTGGTACAGGCAGTCCTCGGCGTGTTAGGTTCTCGAAATACGCGACGTAAATCGAAACGACGTAAGTCGAGACATATTTTTTCATATGTTTACAAGTAAAACTTAAGGGTTAAGTACCACACGGACTCAAACAAATAACTACATTTATAACAAAGTATATACATACTTTATTATTAAAAGTATGTAATTAAACTTAAAATATTTATAAATGTACTTAAGAAATTGATAGTTATTTTTGGTATTTCAATAATAATAATAAAACTTTTATAAACAAAATATGCAATAAGAAATAATAAATTAAACTTTTGGCTTAGAGAAACTATTGATTCTCGATTGCTTCGCTTCTTTCTTCTTACTATCATACAAGCCTTGGTAACACTGATAGGCTGCACAAATTTTGTTATTAATATTATAACCCACGGATATTTACCCCAAAGACAAGTGAATTTTCCTATGCCGGAAATCGAAACAATTGACGTATGCTTGAGAAACAGTGTCATAACATTGTTTGACGTACCTTAAAACGACGTAACTCGAGGATTGCCTGTAGTGTTTAATACACTGTTACCGATAATCACACTTTTATTTCTTGATTTTAACTTATTATATGAATGATACTTTTTAAAATATATTTTATGTATAAACTATAAAATAGAAAGATAAAAAGTTGTCTACTACGTCAAAGTTGTAAATCGTAAAATTTCGTTCGTTAAGACAACATAATGAGACAGTAAACTCACCGAGATGTAAGCTTTTTGGAGTCCGTTTCAGATTCCTCAGAATCAAAACTAGTTTTATGGTCATGTACGCGACTCTTAGCCGACTTACTACTTCGTTCAGGCTCTCTGTCTGGGGTGAACCTTAAAGAGATAGTATTAAAGTTTATTATATAACAGTTAAGGAATAAAATGTATTTAATTATAATAATTGTAAAAATAGACAGCAGTAGATTTCTGTTCTGTAAGAGCACTCTATATACTACCTTATATGATTTTGCAATTAACCTTTCGGGACTTTTTCTCCTTTTCTCTTGTTCCTTTTCCTTTACTTCCAACTTTTTGGGCTCTTCCCGAGCTCCTAGCCTTTCTCTGACAGGTCTTTTGGGTAAATTCAGTTCAATCTGTGGCAAAGTTTCAACTGCTTCTAGGGGTTTTTCTACAGGTTTAGGGATTGTTTCTTTGGGTGGTGATTTGTTAGGCTGCAGAGGAGGAGTTGCTACTGGTGCCTGCTGTGTGATTTCCTGTAAAAAGAAATATCAATTAGTTAATACAGTCAATAACAATAGTGTTATATATTAATCATCATCATAACCAGCTTATTGGTGTCCCCACTGCCAGGTCTCAGGCCTTCTTATAGATGGAAGTAATTCAAATCTATTAAGGAGAACGGACTATAACCCGCCAAATGGGTCCTGTGAGGATTTGTGGGTATTAACGACTGCAAATGCAGTCTGGACCAACGGCCTAACCTGCCTTCCGAAGCATGGAGGAGCTCAAAATAATGAATTTTTGGTCACCCCTCCTGTGACTGGCCATTGCAATAGTCGCTTAACAGCCGTATCGCAGACGGAGTGCGCTAACCACTGCGCTATCGAGCTCCTCCGTCTATCCTCTATTTTTTATATAAATAAATACTCATGATAGAAAATAATCAAAGCACTTTTTATACCTGAAACACGTCTTCAGCAAAATCATTCATCAACTCCTCCGCCTCAGTTCTTATAGTTAGAAAGTCCTCATCTTCAGACATAGAATCTAACTGCTCAGCTAATTTCTGCTTTAGTCCCTGAATTTTAGCTTCAATAACGTTTATCTCTTTTAGTTGGTCCTCTTTCATATCACCTGTAGGTGTATTAAGTCTTTTTTCTTGAGTATTAGCTACTTCATTAGTTTCAGGAACAGAGTCTATATTTGGTTGTGATGATATAGTAGCCGGGTCTATGATGGGTAGAATTGGTCTTTTTATTTCTTTAATAATCGGTTTTATATCTGGTATTTTAGGTTCATCTTTTAGTGATTCTAGTGTGATACCATGACATTTCAATATTTGACCAGCAAACACATCAGTTATAGAAGGTTCCGATTCTTTTTCCATATTCATAAGGAGTGGAGGCACATTAGGGCGTATCATTTCATGATGTTTACTCTTCTTCTTACTTTTATGTAATTTCTTATCTTCCTTTTTACGGTGTGACTTTTCTTTCTTCTTAGCTTTCTTTACGTTATCTGTCTTCTTTAGTTTAACCTTATCCTTTTTATCTTTAGATTTCTTTTCTTTAGATGCTTTTTCCTTGACAACTTCATGCTCCACTGCTTCTGAAAATGGAATATTGATATTTACAACAAAATTGAAACAAAGTTTCAATTTTATTTCAATGCCGTATTGATGTTATACAAATTATATTTTTCTTACATTATTGTATTTTCGTTATGACAATTGGTAACTTACTCAAGGGTGTTGTAACTGTCACTTCCTGTAATTTCTTCAACACCTGATGCAACCAATTTACAAACAGTTTGGTATTGTCACCAAGGAACAATTGTAAATCATCCTCCATTTGAGTGCGAGTGCGTTTGTTAGCCACCATGACCATTACGTAATCAGGCAGTTCATCATCTACAAAAGAAATAATTTAAGTGAATGACAATTTAGTTTCTTTGTTCAAATAAATATCGCATATTAAATCAATTAACTTTAAATGATGATTAAAATAAAAGTTTTAGAAAGCGGAGTTCTTTCTCGTTGTTTCATTTTGTAGAGAGACATATTGTAAATTACAATAAAAACTTAAATAAAAGTACCTTCCGCTATATCAGTAGAATAAAATTCGGCTATCAATTGTGTAGTTCAATTGTAATGTGCTAATTTAAAAAATCATTTACAGCAACGTTCTAGTTTCAGATAACCTGATCTTTTACTGTTGTTAAGTGGATTATTCAAATTCAAACTAAACTTAGCTTGTTTTACTCAATACTCAATCATTTGGGCAATAAAATGCATAGTATTAACCTAAAGATTTATAATCTAAATACTGATTACAACTTCGCTTCCGATAAAATAGATTTTTTTTGTCAAAGGCGAGATTATAAACTTATAATCTCGCCTGCGATTATAAACATGGCAGTGCTAAAATTGCAATTTAGTATTATACCAAATTTATATTATACAAAGAATAAGCAAATCTACTACCATTAAGGGGTAAATATTTCTCCCGTAGAACCTCGTATAAGGTTATATTTCGCTAAGTCTCCGTTTATTATTATCAATTTTGACTAATATTAAGTGCAGTCTCAGTGTAAACTTACTCCAAGACTAAACCTTGTTTATTAATAACACTGTATCAGATTTTCAACTAAACGATTGACTTTGTCATAAAAAGATTACAGTGAAAGCAAGAAAGTTAATAGAGATAAAAAAAATAATAAAAGAACTTACCAACATAGCACCCGAGTTCGGTCAGCTTAGCTTTAATCGCCGACTGTAAAAGTAAAAAACAAATTATGAATAAAGATGGCCTTAAAAATATAATTAAAAATAATTCCTATGAACTTTGTTAATATTTGTACTGTGAAATTTTCCACCCTTATAACTCTCGTCTAACGCACAGTGGGCTGAAGTTGGTGTTGATGGATAAACATTTTTTTTAATATTTAATTGTCGATCTTATTACTTTAACTAAAAGTGCGAGTAGACCAACATGCCTCATATAATGATCTATCATGTAGATATGTGACACATTAGACACTCATCACATTAGATGGGATTACCCACATATCACTACGTAGGTAAATGTTTATGCAGAGCGTTACCACTTGGGAGGCTTAAGCTGAAGATCGCCTTTGCAGTTATACACAAATCGAGGCGACACCTTTTGGACACCACACCGAGTGCACTCTTAGTTGAATTATAATTAAAGTATTTTTTTTGTTAAATATGTAATCATGTGTGTGTTCAATAAACATTTTCAATTTTAATTTTATTTCTGTAATGTGTACCTAATGAGAACCAAAGGATGGCGATTTTGAATAACTAGATAATTACTGTGTTAGATGTTTACTCTTTGTTTTTTAATGCTAATTACATTTTGAATATTACTTTTTAAATTATTGCAATAAATTGAATACTGTACCCGAACAACTAATTCACCAACTACTTTGTTAAAAATTGTTAGCATAGTTATCAAATGGGTATATTTTAATTGAACTTGATTTTGAGTCATAAAATAGTTATTGCATTAGATATTTGCCTAATTTAACCTCTTATTTATTTAGTTTTGAGTCTTCTTTGTTATCATCAAATGCCATTTATTTGCGACATCAGTCAACCTGTACATTATCATTAAAATTCTACCAATTTAAATACGACGCCAAATATGATTTTTAAAACTGTTATGGCGAAACATTTGAAATAATTCATTTATAAACGCGAAGGATATTATGCGTGATTGTGCGATATCAGTCATTATTATTTACTAATCGTTTTTCCGAGACTTATTCTGGTTAAATTATATGCCCTGCATAACACAATATTTGTGCGCTTTTTGCGTTAGTAAATAATATGGATTATTATTGTTAAATAGTTTAAAATAATAATTAGTATTTCATCAATAATGCATTAGTTTGTCATTTTTAAGGTTTTAAAATAATAAAGGCACACATAAAAAATATTTAAATTGCTTTGAAACTCGAATTCTAACCCACTGTGCAATAACATGTTATTATTATCCAGTGGCGTAGCGTGCCTTGCGGGGCCCCGTATAAAAATTTGTTTGGGGGCCCTCATGAAGGGCACAGATTTCTCACAAAAGGAAAATAAATGTTTGATTAAATGATTATTATTATAAGCTGTCCGAATTTTAATCGTATGTACATCGATTATTGTGAGATTCCCTGTTGAAATAAATGACTCAAACGGAGAAATCCCGGAGTCCGCAAAATCCGATGTATGGTGTTGCTAATTTTGAAATGCATGCTTTACTTGTTTTTATTTACTAGAGTCATTTCTGAAATAAAATGAAATATTGGGAAGTTTTTATTGATTTTTGCTTACACACGTTGGCCCCCGTCGCCCGGGAGCCCCTGTTATTATTACGACTATTATGTAGGTAGGTATGGTATTATTAGGTCACTGAGGATTAATATTTTTTTAGTACTTGCATTATTTAAGGGAGTTAAATAATGTCACAATCACATTTTAGAATGGAGAAAGCTACTTCTAAAAAAATAATCATAGAAATAAAATCAAAACTAAATAGGTATTTTAGTATGACGTCGAACCTGTTTCTTGTCTTGTTTAGAAAATATTGGATTATCATAAAACTTCAAAATGAAAATCACTTAAAAATCTACTTGGTACTGTGAAATGGGACTCGAACTCATAAACTTACGAAATCCGGGCGACTGCTCTAACCACAAGCTACCCAGGACCTAAGAGAACTGACAAATTTTTCAAGCAGTTGTTTCTTTATTGTTATTACAAAGTGTATTTTCATTAATATCCAGGCAAACAAACCACCAAAAAAAATATTTTAACTTTCAATAAAGATGAAAATTTGTTCTAATTAGGGGCCATCCATAAATTATTTCACGCAAAATTCAGGATTTTTTAACCCCCTCCCCCCCATGTCACATATTTATCTATACAAATTCTACTTAATATTGTTCTAATGTCACAGTTCGTCGACCCACCCCCCCCTCTTTAAATGTGACGTAAGTTATGGATGACCCCTTAGTATAATGATGAATTTTGCATTCACAATTCTATACTGAAAAGTATTCTTTCTGGGGCTCAGCTCTTCTCTATTGATGGAATCATATTAAATGGGGAAAATGAGCCATGGTCATGGCCATGAATTAACGTGCCTTCCGAAGCACAAAGGAGTTTGTGACATTTTTGATCACCCATTCTACGTCTGGATATTGAAAAAGTTGCTTAATAACCATATCGCAGACTGAGTGTGCTAGCCACTAGTAACTGTATTTTAACGACTTGACACTACTGTACTAGACAAGCTGTTTTACACTCAAATTTGTAACACAGGTGATATTACTTACTTACTCTTAAGAAGTGAGTGAGAATAAAATAAGAATAATATTTTCAATTGGCATACAAAATAACCACTAAGTGCTGGTTATGTAATATGCTTTCAGATAAAAAATTTTTTTTTTAAAGTCAAGAAAAGACATTTGTTCTCATATATAACTTAAAATCATGTGAAAATGTAAGTAATGATACATTGTATAATTTACATCAGTAAGTGCGTTTGTTGACTACAACTTATGTCGCATCATCTGTTATCGACTTTGATTTTCTTTGATCAATATAAAAACTTCAATCAAATGCGATTGACTAAATAATGTTGTTATGTTGACACAATAACTTAGTATTTTTTCAGTAACACGTAGTTTACTTAGTAGTATAAATAAAATTTTCATACCTATAGAATAAAGTGACATTAAGAGTATATAATCTAATGAATTTATTATCAAATTTAATAAAAAATGCTGTCTTAAAACAAGATTTTTATTCACTAGACTATTTAATATTCAAGTAACAAATAATTTTGAGTATGAAATATGAATGAGCATAGTTCATTTTGTTATTAAACTACTTCTGAAGTATTAATGAACTCGAGAACTAAATACAATTTCTTTAACTTTAAATTTGATTGAGTTACATACACTTATTTGTACTTTTTTAACACTAGTTAATTTATTTGTAAGTTTTGTGTCAAACCCAAGTTTAGGTAGAAAACTGTATTAGTTAAATACACATTGTTTGGTCAATCCTAAGTGTTTTATGACTTGGAAGCCTCGATTTACCAGCTTTAACAGAATGTAAATCTTCAACAAATTAATGAAAATGTTACCTAAAAGTCTGTTTTACAATTATCCGACTACAATTAATAGTTTCTTATTTCAAGCATAATTATAGACCGAAAATGTAAATAAAGACAATATTTACCCTCATTTTCTGTCCAATCTCACTGCCGACGACATCCATTTTAATGTTTCACTGTACACAGTCAACACAAAACTGACATAGGTATAGCAGCTACAAGCTATTTAGAACAATAAATACCACGTGCGGTTTATTAATTTCCTTAATGACATTTTAATGTTCAATAGAAAACAATAGGCTATTTTTACCACCCAAAATTACAATAGACGGTAATCTTTTCAGAATTTGTGAGTTTGACTTTTGTTTGACACCGGTGAAAAGTTATGTTTCTTTTGTAAAGGCGAAGGGATTAAGCCCATTTTTTTGGTCATTTCCTTTTTATTGCCAGTGTTATATATTAAACAAATAGATAATCGAAATAACCCAGAAGAAAGAGGTGAACCGTGTATCGATCTACAATAAGTTAACTTTAGCATTGTTTTTTATATGTATTGAATTGAATTTTTTCTTCTTACCAAATTAATAATTAGTTAAAATATATTTGAGTGTGCATAATCTCCTTGGGGATTGTATCTTTCATAATCCTTCATCCTATTTACGAACCTCAACATTTTAACTACCTATAAATGTAACTTATAATTTAAACCATCAAATAGGTAATTTGAGCGGGCGTTAATAGATTATCCAGTCGGATAACTTTGCCTTTCAGTTTTGCTGTACTTTTGACCTTTTTTTTAATAAAATATTAGAAGAATTTTTGTATTGCTTATCAATGTCATACCACAAATCATTCATACCTTTAGTATACGCTATAACCACAATTATGGGCTTCTAGGTATTGTTTTTATTTAGTTAATAAAACTTGACAGAATTCTTATCGGTTTTCATATTTTCACTAATAAACAACACAATGACCGGCGGGCGGTCAATTTTATGTTACTTGGCTTTATTAGAATAAATAGTTTTATTAGAAAAATACAAGAACAATAATCATTTTGAGCGTAAAGATAAAATATTCCTCGATGCAATGAGAAAGATAGAGGTAGAGGAAAATGAAGTGTGCGTCACAAACTGTTTTTAATTTTAATAAATTAATTGCAAACTATTTCGATAACTGTAGAAATTTCTGCATAAAAATAAACTGACTAATAATTTTTTTGTTATGGAATAGGAGGCAGACGAGCAGACTGATCACCTTATGGTGAGCGATTACCGCCGCCGATGGACACCTGCAACACAAGAGGAGCTACAAGCGCGCTGCCCGCCTTTGAGGGTGTCGAATTCCTTCGAATATGCTCTACGCTTGAAAGTTTGAAGGTCGTATCGGTCCGAAAATACCGCTGGCGACAAAATGTCCCAGAGTTTGGCTGTGCGAGGCAGAAAACTTCACACAGTTGAAGACTTCCAACCATCCAGAGACGGGCGTGGATTTCTTGTCGCGTGGAACGATGGCGGAAAGTAGCGGCAGGTATGAGTCCGAACAATTCCTCGGAACATTCCCCGTAGTAAATGCGATAGAAGATGCACAGTGAAGCGATATCTCTACGCAGGGCTTGTGGATCAAGACGACTTGAAGTGTCCCGGCATTCGACGATTCGAGTTGCTCTCCGCAGAATGTGGTCTAGAGGGAGAAGCTGGTATTGGGCTGCCCCTGCCCAAAGATGAGAACAGTATTCCATATGGGGCCGAACCCGCGCCTTGTAAAGCTGCAGGCGATGCGCCGGAGTGAAATACTGCCTCGCTTATGATGCTAATTTAACCTTATCCTCTAAGTGACCACGGAACTGGACCTCGCTCGATAGGTCGACAACGAGAATCTCAATATTGGCTGAGGCAGTTAGGGGAATGTTTTGAAAGCGAGGTGATACGACAAAAGGGGCTTTTTAGCGGTGAACGCGCAAACCTGTGTCTAATGCATTTGATAGAGTTGATATAGAATATAAGTTTAAATTATGTTAGTAAGATTTTCTGTATTGTCGCAATGAGGTAGTAGGGTAGGTAGTGTGTTTAATTATTTTTTGTATTGAAAGAAGGTTTTTATAATTAAGTGGGTTCGAGTAGGAGTTCATTGTTTGAGGTTTTTTATGATAAGTGGGATCGAGTAGGAGTTAATTGTTTGAAGTATTTATGGTAAGTGGGATCGAGTAGAAGTTAATTGTTTGAAGTTTTTTTTATGATAAAGTAAGTCGAGTAGGAGATGAGTTAGGTAAATGATTTTATATAGCTGAAGTTTTGTCGAGAAGAAGATATGAAAGTTTGTTTTAAGATGTTAGGTTTAGAGGCAGTTAGGGATTTATATATGTAAAATGTAAAGGGATATACAGGAGTTAATAGACGTTAGGTAAAATGGATCTGAGAGATAGGGAATAGGAAATATATGTATATCTAAAGTAGTTTTAGGTAGTCATTCTAAATTAATATTTGTAATGGCAGTTAGAAGTCTAAGTTAGGACAGTCAGCATGTGCAACAGATTGAGGGGGTGTGTTGAGGGAGACCTCCTTCTTGGTTTAAGATCTTTTTAATTTTAATTTAAATATTGACAATCTGTTCTGCACATGCGCGTCTATTGTTTATATATATTAATGTCTCTCTTCGTAAAGCTGTTGTCGGTTTATATTTTTATAAAGTACATATATATAATTTTGGTGGTAAATAAACTCATGTGATCTAAAAGCTCCCTGGTCTTTCTCTATACCCGTTTTACCATCGGGTATCAGAAGTGGACCAAATTAAGTCGACCCCAGTTAGAGACTCGGTAGAGTAGCTCAGTGGCGTAGTGGATAAGTGCCGCGGCCCGCGATCGTAGTCGTTAAGCAACTTTCGCAAGGGTCGGTCGGTACCCTCCAATCCGCATTGGGCCAGCGTGGAGGGTCATGGCCTATCCTCCTTAACCATCCATAAGGAAGGCCTGAGCCCCTGCAGTGGGGACGTAAAAGGGCTGGCGATGCGATGCATTCAATATCAGACACAGGTTGATTCCGGCTCTCAATGACGCTTTCCCGAGAAATATTAGTACGACCATTATAGGTGGAGTCCTTCGTGCTGTCATCCGCATAACAATGAATACCGCTAATTTGCAGCATGTCATTAATATGCAGAAGAAAAAGTGTAGGTGATAGCACACATCCTTGGGGAACATCAGCATTTATAGACAGTAAGTCCGAACATTCACCGTCGATTAAAACCTTAATGCTTCTGTCTGCCAAAAAACTAGTGACCAATGAACATAATTTCTCGGGAAGCCCATACGAGGGAAGTTTTGATAGAAAAGCTTTGTGCCACACCCGATCGAAGGCTTTCGCTATGTCCAAACTTACTGCCAGGGCCTCCCTTTGTTTCAATTGCCTTAGCCCAGTTATGTGTCAAGTAAACTAGAAGATCGCCAGTAGAACGACTACTACAAAATGCGTATTGTTGGTCACTAAGCAACTGGTAATCCTCTAGGTACCGAAGGAGCTGGCGGTTGATAATGGACTCCATTATCGATCGGCGATCGGCCTGTAGTTGGACGGGTTCGAGCGGTCACCTTTTTTTGGGATCGGATGCACTAAAGCAGTCTTCCATGAGGTTGGGACAACGCCAGATGAGTAAGAGAGCCGGAATAGGCGCGTTAAGACCGGTACCAACTCTGGAGCGCACGTCTTTAGCACAACCGTTAGATACCATCGGGCCCACTCGACTTGTGGATATCGAGGGAGAGTAGTGCAAGATGCACTGAGATTTGGTGAAACCGGATATCTGGCATAGAGCTATTGCACCGCGGAATGGTGGGCGGTTTCAGGCCCCGGTTATCCAAAGTCGAGTTGGATGCAAAAAAGTTAGCCAGGAGATCGGCTTTCTCTTTTGCATCATGGGCTAATGAGGAGTTATCTTTGTGCAAGGGTGGAAATGAAGGCGTGCAGAAATTACCTTGAATAGATTTGGCAAGAGACCAGAAAGCACGCGTCCCCGAAGGAAGACGTTCAAGCTTCTCGCCAATTCTACAAATGTGCCTCGCTTTCGCTCTTGCAATGTCTATTTTGAAATGTCTGGAGGCAAAGTTGTATTGTTTTTTCAGGGCGCTGGTATTTACATCCCGCGACAATACCGCATTTGCCCAGGCTTGGTATGATTCCCTCTATGAATTAAAAAGCACAATGGAACTTTACGTGATTATTGTCCAGGTATTTTTTAGTTCCCGTTTTGACTATGATAGGCCCTTTTTAATTACATATTTTTTAATCAGTTTACTGTATTTTTAAGTAATAGGAATTTCATCATAGATATAGTGTCTATGATACAAGTTTTAATTAATTATATATTTCCTTTTTTTTAATCGTAGAGCTTTGTTACCTTTGTTACACATTTATAAAATCTCTCCACTACATAGTATAAAACAAAGTCGCTTTCTCTGTCCCCATATATCCCTATGTATGCTTAAATCTTTAATGCAACGGATTTTGATGCGATTTTTTTTTCATAGATAGAGTGATTCAAAATGAAAGTTTTTATGTATAATACAAGACCACGCGGGCGAAGCCGCTGGCGGAAAGCTAGTAATGAATATTCTTATTTGAAAATTTGTATAAACGCCGCTATAAACTAATGATAATTTTAGTGGACATTTGTGCAACTCATAATAAAATACCCATAAACCATTAATATCATAAGTCTATATTTAACTAATTTAAGATGGTTTATTGTTTTGAACAAATCAACAACTACTACAGGTGCTTGAAAAATAAATAATGCCATATATTTCTGTAACTTCAACGTCTGTGAAGAATTCAAAGAATTTCTTTTCAAAGTGGATGCCTCCATGTTGTCGAAAAAAAGAAAAATATGTTCGCAGTTAACGCATTTATTCTCTGTCAACATTAAAACAATAAATATTATAGGTACGTTATTCACATAATAAAGTAAAAATACACTTAAATATATGCATATTAAATTACAACAAATCATTATAATTATGGCATTATAATCAATGGTGTTGAATAGTATTTCTTAAATATTTTGTAGTTTTTTTTACAATATATTAATAAGCACAATCTGAGTATTTATTTTAATCAATTCATCAGAAATTCTATCATAATTCTAAATAATTCGAAATAAAAGTCGAAGTAGAGGAAAGGATGCGCATCCGGGTTTGGTTTTAAGGTACATTCCTATTTGCGCTACGCTCGCTCGCTCGGCTTTTGTTTTATTTTATAGTTATCTGTGGTTACAATACTGATAGATTGACCTTTCTTTTGCATGGTGATTTTCTTTTCACTATTTTAAAAGGTTAGTTTTATTAAAAATACAAGATTTCCTAAAATCTAACGAAACAATCATAAAAAGTTCACGTCAAGCCAAGAACATTTTAAAATTATAGAGAGTCAAATCCTGCGCACCCTTTTCCATACTCCAATCGTAACATAAGATGGGTCGATGACGGTAGTTGAAATAAACAATCTTAAATCACCTAGGTATATAGCAGAAAAAAGGAGACATTGAAGTTCTACTAAAATTATTGTTAAAACGGTAATAAAAAATCAATTACTAAGTTATTAACGTCGTTAAGTTTAAATAAAATGATATCTTATCTGTACAAATAATAACAAAACTAAAGAGTTTGCTCTTTGTTTGAACAGAAACTACCATTTTGATTTGAAACAATCTTTTTGTGTTTGGTAGACTAGTTCAAAATCAAAATCGCTGAAATCTTATAAGATTTATAACACTATAAGTGTGTTATTTGGATATCTCCAATAATCATAATAATCATATATAAAGTAGTCAATGGCGTTTTATAATTTTAGGTAGTGCGGCATTAGTCTTGCAGAGGCAATACTAATGCCTCAGTGATGGAGAAATTCTCAATTCGAAGATCGTCAATTCATTAAATTATAAAGTTAAAACATAAATTAATTAATTTCTTAATCTTTGAAATCATAACCTACACTGACCCATCTAAAATACATTATGATTGTGAGCTTGTATAAAACAATTTGCATACCATTAATAATAAAAAAAACATCTTTGGTCTTTGTTCAAATACACTTAATACTATTTTGGAATGTGTATCTCTATTAAATAAATAATTTAATTAAATTCTTAAGTAGATATCAGTATCTTCATCAGACTATCACTAGTGGAATGCCTCCAACCAATATTTCAATAAGACCCTTGGAAGACAATTAACAAACATTTATGTTCATATTTCAGTAAAGTCCAAAACACGAATAGTATAATAATGTCTGTCGCTTATTATTAGGACGGATTAAATACAGTAGTAGACACCTAATGGAATTGAAAATTCAAATATAAAATAATATGTCGTAAACTTTACAATTGTTCAGAAGTGGATTTTGAGTTGGCAGAGACTTTGTATAGCTAACAAAGGGAATACCTATGTCGACTAGCTAAATATTTTGAATTCGGGTTGTTGCTAGGGACTGTGAGCTTATGTTTTTCACATAAAAAATAAATTGCTGAGATTTATTCATTTACCCTTCACCTTTAAAATTAAGTTGTTTGTATTTCTATTTGCTTATCAAAAGGGTTAGCTTATTCTTGCTACCAAACTCTGTCGTTACACTGTTTAGCAATCTTTTTGAGATCACTTTAATGTTCAAAATTATCTATCTAGGTATCCAATATATTTCACTCTAGTTTACGACATTCGCTATAAGATAAAATATCACAATCAAGTTTTATTTATTTCAAAAATACTCATTTGGTTACAAAGGAAACTTAAGATCTTTGGTTCGTCTTTGTAATAAGCGACATAACATCAATTGTTATTTCTAACGTCATTCCTCTCGTCGCAATTCATTTTAAACCGAATTTTTGGACCGATGCTGTTGTGAGAACGAGTTTTCCCCGTATCACGTAACGAACTAGTATTTTTAGCAACGTTTTGCATAGATCCACTCGATTTGGGATATGTTATACTCCTCGACGATCCCATAGTTTCGATGGTTCGAGTTCGATTTTTACTTCCCGCGCTTAAGGCAGAAGGTTTATGAGTAAATGTTGATTCGGATGAATTTGACTTAGTGTTCTTTGATGTTTCTGCGAGTTTTCCTCTTGCGGAGTGACTATCGGTTTGTGTCATCTGAAGAGATGACGATGAAGTTTTGGATGATTTGGGAGTGAGCGAAGAGTCCGTCGATTTATTTGGTAACCTCGACTGTGAATTCGGTACAGGTTTCTTGAGCGCCTCTTTGAGGTAGGGATTTGGGACATCGTTTGGGCCTCCTACCTGGCCGCACTGGGGCCGCCCGGGGCCATGGGCCGATGGTCTACTCTCGATTCTCCCAGCGACACTTGGCTGAGCGCCGTTCGTGTGTTGCTGTAACTGTACCCGTGACGCTCGTTCCATTTCTCTAAAAAGAATGGGTAACTAGTTAATTCACATTTAACTAATAACATATGCTTGAAAAAGTGGAGAATGTGGATGACACGGTTATGAAAATAGTGATACGGTGTTAAAACGGTGTAGTGAACCTAACGAATTTTTTTTGTCAATTTCAAACTTGTACTAGGAGCGGAACTTGATAATTTTTCCTCAATTTTTTCCTTTGGGCTTTAGTTGCAAATCGATCAATCGGATTACAAGCGAATAAGGCTTTCAGTTTTTTTTGTGAATTTAGCGTTTAGTGCATCATTGTTATTACCATTGGTCATCCGGGGTTAAAGTGCAACAAAATAAACCACACCCCTTGACAGATATGGTACCTTCACGAGCGCACGTATGTGGGCAGAGCGGAGGTGCGCTCCTTTGGCTGGCATGCGACGGGCGAGATATACGCACCGCTGGTGAGGCCCGAGATCCGAGCCAAAGGGCAGCACAGCGCGGCGGCGTACGCGGCGCGGTACTGCGCGTTCATTATCACGTAGATGATTGGGTTCACGCATGCGCTCGCGTATAGCAGCAGGTAGCCCGCGATATGGAACACTGGAGACAAATTACAAATTTTAAATTGGGTGTTTGAAGACAGAGTAGAATGAGAGGTCAAAACGATCAGTCACTGGTGGATGACCTAAAATTCTCCGTGCTTTGGAAGACACGTTAAGCAGTTGATTTGGGATACATCAGCAGTTCTCAACATCCACTAATCCGCATTGGGCCAACCTGGTAGGTTCCCTTCGTTCCCGTCTGTTCTCTCTACTTAATTCTAAGCATGGTGAGTGTGACATTTATAGGATGATTATGATCATATTATTATATTGTTTTAAAGTAAGGGAGCTGATAAATAGTTATTGCTGTTGACAGTTACTTACCAGGATAATGTACATGGCTATCAGCGACCTTCGCAATGGTGATGGGTAAGTAGCACACAAGGAATGACAGAAATATGGCGAGAACCATTTTTGTGATCCTCCACTCATTGCGTCTCGCCTTCGTCTCCCTGTTGTCTTTGATCGTAGACCGTTTGTCGGAGCCGTTATTTAACGAGCCAGGAGTGTGTTGGGATCTTTGGTGCTCGCGCATCCGTTGTTCTGAGCTGGAATAAATACATTACTCATATCCAGTATTGTACTATGAAAATATGAATCAACGAAACAATACCAGACCTAAGACATTTCTATATAGAAAAGTTGATTTTCTACATTGATCCCAACTGGAAATCGAACCTGCCAGTTTCAATATTTAACCAACGTGTAAGCCACTCGACCACGTAATAATTATTCAGTTATCAAGAGTAATCAGAGCTAAAATAATTCTAGAAATACGTTTCATATTTTCATTTATTTCCGGATGCATTGAAAATGAGAAGTGGTCACTACCAGAGACAGTTTTTATCAGATAAGCTACGTTATGAGATCATAAACGCATATACTCCAATCCTATCTAACCAAGATTTAATTTTTAATTTAAAAACGAAAGCAGTTTATCTTAATAAAAATTTCGTACTGCTCTCATCAGTATTTAGTTTGTCAGAATTTTGCGATATACAAATATCAATTTGCATTTATTTGAGTTTGTGCTTGTCTTATTGATTTATTTTAATGTATCAATAATATAACTTTGTAATACTAGAAGTTATGAAAAAAAAGGTGAAGGTTCTAATATACTATTTTCATATCCATAAGATGATGTTAGTAGAATCAATATTAACAGAGTAATGTAAGCTTACTTTGGGCGTATTAAGATGGCTACAAAGTTTTCTCACGTAGGCTTCCAACTATAAAGTAAATCATAGATACTTGACATAACTTCGGAAAAGTTAAGCTTTGTTAAAACATCAATTGTTGCTGATTCCTTTCGAAAATCCAAAGTAAAAAAATTTTTAGTAAACTTATTGAAAACTCCTGTTGAAACGTCAAATCAAAATAAATAAGAATAGTTACCGATCAGAACGTCATTTTGCTGACAAAAAGATTGGGCGCCATGTTAATGGTTATGTTAAGGTTCCAAGAGTTATGACAGAATTTGAATTGAATTTGATATTATTCCTTTTTATTGACTTAAGACCATAATTGACTGGCTATCTGTTAGTGTTTGCGAAAGTTAAGAGACAAAAATCGTTTAACATAAAGATTTACCAAACATAACTCGATTTGTAAGTACACGTACCTATGGACTACCCAAAATATTCTTGCATAGCATATGAGGATAAGCAGAGCAGGAACTATGAAGGCGATTATGAAGAGAGCCGTCTTTGAAGATCTGCCGTTAGCATCCGGCAGTATGGAGCATGTGCCTAACTCTGGGTCGTAGTCAAATTTGCCTGTAATAAAGAATATTATTTTAGTCAACGATTGATGTCTGTAGTTATTTTTGCGTATATGAAATGTTTTAGGTATACTCCGCCTCTCGAGGAGCGACGGGTGTGAGAGGGACTTTCCGGTGGCTTGCTGGAAAATTGATCAGTGGAGATTTAGGTACCTATTATAAACCCACGGTAGGCTAAATCAGGTCAGATATAATATGCGAAAAGAAAAGAGTATGAAATTACTTGAACTCGAATTTTAAACAGATTGATCCTTTGTGGAGCAAATTTCTCACTCAGTAAAATTTCATGAATTGTAAATAATCTTTTTTATAAAATAGAATTCAGGATTCCAATTTGTCTGGAAGAAGTCATATTACCTTCCTAATAACACAGGGCAAACACAGGAACACAGGTACACAGGGAAAACACATGATCAGTGGGAATTGGAGGGTGTTAGCCAGGAGCAACGGTTTATTCAGAGGTCTGAGGAGATAAGATATATTTTTGGTAACCCATCCAATGAGCGCAGGCCGAACATTAGTGCGTTCGGAATGCCATTGAGATATTTTTTTCTATTTGTTGTGATACACAAATGTATATTAATGAAAGATAATCAAATGAGTATATAAATTGTTTTACGTTTGATCTTTAGGCACAAAGAATATTCGTAGCAGATTATAATCTCTTGTCGTACAGGAAAATGTAATAATGGAAATTGACTTTAATATCCAAGTAGAATGCAACATAGTTTTGCCATGTTAGTAAGTTTGTTTGTCTGTCAGGTAGGTCATTGAAGAATATTAAACACATATTTATTTTTATTTTGTGCGCAAAAATAAATTACGGTGATACAATGAGTTGAAATGTTGTACGACGTCATTCTTTTGTACATTTTCTATAAAACTCAATTTTAATGACTATTATCTAAGCCATTTCTTATTTAAGTTGAAGTAAATGAAATACGTACCTATCTAATATTTACCTATTACTATTAATTTTCCTATTACGGACTAAATAGAATTTCTTTCTTTACCCAATTAAAAAATATTTTAAAATATAAATAACAATTCTCAAAGAAGATTCTAAATTTTAAAATGATTTTAACATATATTATCTTTTTAACGTTACACAATGAGGAGCTTCAGGACGATGAAGAATTATTAGTGTTTGGTTTACGATTGCTGATTTTAAACGACTTTCACAAGGGATTTATTTCATATTAGCTTTAACGTGGGTTACGATTAATTTTAACTATGATTTGTTTAAGTTTACTTCCTATCTTTAAACAAATCGGTTTCACTAACGCAAAGGGTATCCGGGTACTCGGAAATTTTTGAAAAGCCCTTCCGGTTGCTCCCCGGAAACTAGGACCACTAAAATAGGGAATATCCGAGGAGAACCGGAAGGATGGTAGTTCTATTGCTAATGCTTGTATATCTATCAATCTAATATCTCACTTTGTTATACTATTTCGTTCTCAGTAATTGGCGTCACTGGCACAGTGAGGTCCTGCTGTTATTGTATTATATAGATTATGTTATAAAACTAGCCCCGAACTCGATGTCAATCAAAGAGTTGTCATCAAGCTTCAATGAAGAGCTTCAATAAATACAACCTTTTGAAGTAAGTTTTTTTGATTGAATTTTGTACAACACTCATCTAGTTTACCTTTATACAATATCCTTGGTTAGTTATGTTAAATCTATCCCATCAAAAACATAACATGCACAAGTCTCATAACGCAATTGTTCTGCCGTTAAAACTAATGAAATCAACGTGAACCAAGTCGAATAATTCAGTACTTATCTTTCTGTGGTAACAGCTAACCAACCTTGTCATAGTCTTAGGAATACGTAAGTATTTTTAAACCAATAAAGCATAGAGCCAATAACTCTAGATAGATTTTTATGTTATATTATTTTACCAAACCTAAACGATTTATCCTGTATAATTTACTCACCCCAAATGCCGATGAGTGTCGGTATCTGCATTCCATACGAGAACAGCCACGAGAACACGATCATAAGGGCGATATTGTGTCGCCTGTACACCCGCCCGTACCAACTGTGATGTGCGATCATGATGTACCTGCACATAAAGTATCATATCTAAGTTAGTTGTATAACACACCTCATGAAAAGTACCTCTGTACCCTTTTAAAACGCGCTATCAAGTAATCAATACCAGTTTGATATTAAGTTCGATGAATGTTTCATTATTAATCCTTTCTAAGGCCTTACTGCATAGCGCGCTATACGCTTCCACCTCGTTGGGACGTCATAGTGTCTTAGCATTATGGTAGTCACACAATATAAGACCGCTTTCGATGTACTACCATGTTAAGGGATACGTTGTTTGCTCTTATATTACTACATATATCCACGCACACAACACTCACCTAACCACACACACCCACATACACACACTCACACTTACACTTACACACACACACACACACACACACACACACACACACACACACACACACGCACGCACACACACACACACACACATACACACACGCACGCACGCACACACACACGCACACACACATTTCTAAAGTTCTTAAGACCTTGCCTTTATTAAGTTTTTAGCGTCATCACATTCCCTTATAAACAACCTACCGAGGAATCGCTGGCCCTGATAATACAGATTCTCTAGTTTCGGGGACAGAGATCTAAGACTTAAAGCAATATGAACAATAAAAAATAAAAAAATTGTGGTCAATAACAGTTGTATATACGTTTTGGTTAATTACATTTGCTATACTTGTCGCTCTTGTTGCTCTTCGTCACATGACCCCGTAACATCGTGTTAAAGTTGTGATTAAAAAATGACCTATAAACTAATAAGCAATGCGTCTATAGGTGTTATCACAGATCTTGGCAACTTAACAGGTGACTTTTCAATTTAGATATCATTGAAGGTCTTCTATCCAGGGTTTGCATTAAAGTAGAATAGACAGCTAGTAAAGATATCTTAGATTATTGGTAACTTGGAAGAGACAAACACCCACGTAAAGACAGACGTAGGTAAATTAGACGTGGATTTGTGGAGATGCCAATAGTCAGAAGAAGAATAAGACCAATACTTTGACTAGTTATTTACCAGTCACTTACATACATTTGATTCATTGCAGATATGCAAGAATTGACGGTAAAATAAAAATAGCTACAAGTTCCCGGATAATATGTAAGTAATATAAAAATGCACACGTGCGAAGTCGCGACAGGTAGTCGAACTGTATATTAACATAATAAAACTAGCAATATACGATTATATGTAGAATGGTTATAAATAGAATATCTATTTTTATGGTAACTCCTCATAAATGCTTACTATAGCTAGAGTGAGTGATGTAAAAAATTAATCCGTAAAGAAGATGTAAGAACTACAATATCTATATCATTATAAAGTGATTTATCGTGACATAATTATTTTATAAAATTCAGTGTGTATTAATGAATTCACTGTGGATATTTGTAAGCGGAGGCAAGGACTGAATGTGCGCGTATTCAATAAAAAAATATCATATTGTAATTCGCTGTAATACTTATAGAAATTATGTGAATCGGTGAACGAACCTCTAGAAATGTCTAGACTTTGCCTTCATTTTATCGCACTTACTGATTTAAAGTATCTTTCATAACTTTATTAGCTCTTAAAATATTAAATGTGTAGTTGCTAATTCACCATTATTAGATTTCAGAAGGCAGTATTATTCTTGGAATAATATTAGATCATCGTGTTTTATAAGTATTATCTTGAATTATTAATATATTGTGCTGAAATTGATTTTTCCTTAAAATGTATTTGAACAATCTGCTTATGAAATCAACAATACAATTCATGTTGTTTGCGGTTTGAATGAGCAATAGGTACTTAAGATAATTCTAATATTTTATGGGTAGGCTTTACAGTTTAAAATAAAGTGTTATTTGTATAATCATTGAATATCCTTAAAACAGCCAATTATAACGGTATTAATTTTAATTGTGTTACAAATGCAAAGATATTATTAAGTGATAATTAACATGGTTTTCGTGGTGCTTAAAGTGTTAAATAAGAAATGAAAGAATCATTTTGTTTGTTTCACAATCTTTAGAAATATAATTTAATTTGCTCATATTTATTTATAGTTTATTTGGGTTATTTCTTGGTACAAATCAACTGAAAGACAGTTATTTTTAGTTTACAAGCCTTTATGAATTATATACCTGTACTTAAACCAGAAAACAAAGTATTCAATCAAATTTATTTTCCTTAGAATGATTGTTAAAAGCGAGATTGATACCGTGTATCTTGTATTTCACGAGTTCCCGATATTTCAGCGCTGTTGCTGTGTCGAGCGTAATAAGACTCGAAAGAAGGTAGATCGCGATATATCTGTTTTTAACACCCACCCACATAAACTTCAGTTACTCTGTGATCATGGCTCTCTTTTTTTTATGAGATAGGGGGCAGACGAGCAGACGGATCACCTGATGGTATGTGATTACCGTCGCCTATGTTCACCTGCAACACCAGAGTGGCTACAAGCGCGCTGCCGGCCTTTAAGGGACGAATGTGATTATAGGGAGGGAAGGGTTGAGGGGTAGAGGGAAGGGAATAGGGAGGGGTTGGGCCTCCGGTACCCTCACTCACACGACGAAACACAATGCAAGCGTTGCTTCACGTCGGTTTTCTGTGAGGCCGTGGTATCACTCCGGTCGAGCCGGCCCATTCATGCCGAAGTGTGGCTCTCCCACGGTTGAAGTTATCTCTTTAAAAAATGCCGCAATATTGGGAATTCGAGAAATATAAGGTACATGGTAGCTATTCCGTAATTAACAATAATTCAAATGTTAATGACAATTAAATGTTTAAAACAACGTAACAGTTACCTGTTCAGTGTAATTAGGGCGATGCTGAGCAGCGATACGCCTACGTTGCCGTATCGAAGGAACGGCACCATTTGGCACAGGGCACCCCCGTGGGACCAGGTCCTCGTCCAGAAACCTGATATGGCGAACGGGAGCACCACAGCGCAGAATAAGAAGTCAGCAATGCACAAGCTGGAATTAAAGTAACGTTATTTAGAATTAGTTTTATCTTGTCAGTCAGCGGTCACACGTTATTTTCATACTTTTAAGTCCGGAAACAAGAAAATTCTATACAAACTTCACCTTAGGGGTTGAATATTTGAAAATCCTTTCTCAGTGTTCACTTACATCGTGAAAGGAATCCTTGTATTAAATTTTCAAGTTTCAAGGTACTGTAGTTTCAACTATAATATATAAGAGATATTTAAGTCAAAGGTTTGCCTTTTTTTATAAATAAAGATGATGCCTGAAGACACACCTTGATAAATACTTTGAAATTGCATTCCTATGGTTTCGAGTCCCATCTCGACCTGGACTTGCGGCTCTAGAACGTATCTGAAACCCTGATCGATCTATCAAAACAAAGACCGATTATATCAAAACAAGAGATCAATTGTCAGCAAGCAGACTGCTGATCTATATTTTTCCGATTATTTTGGACATGTTCTCTCAGTTTATATTCGACTATTATGAACGATTGGGCATTGATAAAAAAAATCACGAATACGAAACATTATTTTTAATTGGTGACCTTAGGCAATCCTGTTCTAAATTATTAATCTTCATGCTATATAACTTAAAAGTCGCTTCCCGCTGTCTATACGGTGAGATTTTTTAAACTATACAACGGTTTTAATGCGGTTTATCAATATTAGGGTTGCCAATTGTTTTCAGACTCTAAGGGACAATGCATGAATGAGCAAAAAATACGGGATTTTTTTTTTATCCGAGTTAAATATAAAGCCGTTTTTTTTATATATTTTTCAGAGTAACACGCATATTTTAACATATTTTTGATGGATTTGACATATTAAAAAAAACAATACAAATATAATCATTGATAAAGTTGGGCTATATTTCGCACATCACTCCACTTGAAGACCATTTGCCAATTGATATACGCGACAGAGTCGGTCCCAGCGGGCCATTTGAATTTATACCTTAAATATGGGACATGTGGCAACACTAATAATTTACAGAATGATTAAAGATGAAGGTTTTTAAGTGTATAATAGGACCACGCGCGCTATGTCGCCGGTGGATAGCTAGTTTTCATAACGTGTTGTTCAAATTAATCAAATCCCTCTACAATATTCGAAAAAGGTTTTAATTTAATGTAAATAAATAACAGTTTATTAAAAACAACCGTAACAACGTTTATAATCGCATCATTTCATTAGTAATTCTGTTTATACAGACAACGTGGAAAAAGTAAAACAAAAACTCTATTGTTTGAAACATACTCGTACGAGAATGGTTGTTATGCTTTATAACTTGATCGGCTTATAAGCATTACAGTAAAATAATATTATTAATTTGAATAGATTACTCCAATCAAAGTGGAAGTAAAAAAGATGTTCTTTTTAAAATTTTAGTTTGGTATTCTCCCTATCTATATGCATAAACTTTTTTTCACATTTAGAGTCATTATTATCATATTGTTTATGCAAATGAACTTATTAAATCAATTTGAAATCGTCTAATGGATAAAATAACCTAGAATAAAAAGTTTATTTCATAAGAACAGATGGTGAGGGAATTTCTAAGTAGAAAATTAAAGATTCCAGAACCTATCCAGAGACCAGCTTTTTGTCACAGACGCTCGGGGACTCGTTTTAAAAAGGCAAATAATGTATATTTAGCAATAGGTCAACAATAAATATTGACCAATTATAGATTTATTTTTCTTCTTCAAAAAGGCTTCTTAACACGAGAGAATTTGTTTTGTATATGGACAATTTTGATGGAATATTAAACAACTCTATACCTCTATTGTTTCCAAATTGGGTATTAACGCCCTCTTGTGGGCTCTATAGGCCTAAATGGGGGCAGTACGAGAGCCAGAAAAATAAATGGGAGCGTTGTGTAGAGGCTTAGGAAGGGTTAATAAGAGACTTGTGAACTACCCAGTACGCTCAGATCTCAAGTTAACTCTTGCAGGTTTCTCTCGTTTAGAATGAATGTTTAATCTCCGCTAATATAGCTCACAATAACGCAAAAAATACTAAAATACACAAGACACCAAAAATATTTTATTCTAAAAGTGGGCAGTAAAGGAAATAAGTCTGGGAACCCGTGCTCTAAGCGATCATGAATGGCTGAAATGCAATGGAACAATGAATGTAATGGAGTGACCGAATATTGGAGAGGATTCCGATTTCTAATAAGATTGTGGTCACAATCACCCGAAAATAGGCAAAGTGGAAATCATACTCCGATCCGAGTTCCCGCTCAAGAGAATGTATCCCTATTAAGGAGGTATATCCAATATATATATATATATATTTTTAAATATTTTATATAATACAGTGATCAAGATTTTTACTCAACTAAGGTTAAAGGTAGGTTCATCGAGAAAATAATGGTAGATGTGCCCTGTAACATTTCTCTCTCTGTCTGACTCGCAATTCTCGAATTGAAAGAGAAATACTTATTCCTTCCCATTTGATTTGAATTTATCAATTCATTAATCACCTTATAATAAAAGCTGCGGCTACATTCCTCACTTTCGGACACTTAAGGAGGGCCACCACTGTCAGGAGATTCCCGAAAAGTCCAATGACCATGATGAACCCAGTCACCACGGCTGCAAAGGTAAGCAAACCCGGTGAGAACCTGAAACGATATATTAAATATTATAATCCATTAAAAGAGTGAAGTATTATGGATATTGGATTCCTCTTTCTTTTTCTATTCAATATTAGAGTATCTCTTGAATTTTATTAAATATCTCTAACAATATTTTCGATTGAGGTTAAAATGTAATTAAATTTTTCCTCAATTATATTTATTGCAAGCATTTATTTAAGGTGTTATATACACGATAAACTTTTGGTACATCTAAAATTTTAATAAGAAAACATAATATATTATATATGTGCTGATTTCTGAAAATAAACTCGCAAATCAATTAGACATCAGGCCGCGCACGTACACGACATTCATTTTTTCCACGATTTACAAAGAAGACAGGATAACGTTTTCATTTATAATTTTCAATGCTTTAAACAAATTCAGTAAAATTTTGGGGAAACAAACATTCATCAATAATTTTATAAATATTTTAGCTTTTAACTTTTTACTACAGAAAAAAGTACATTATATTTTAAATGTACTTGAAAAGTAATGTTACACGTATTATGTCGCATACGTGTAAATTATAGTTACACGTATGCGACAGACGGAGGGTTAACTAAACCTGTATAGGTTTAGTTAACCTTCCGTCTGTCGCGCCTTTATTAGCTGAACAATCGTGTGTGGTATTTAGAGACTCCAAAAATAAATACAATCAATTCAATAAAATTAATATTTGATATTATTTTGACGTATTTCAATTGAATTTTCTTATATTGAAATCATATTAAAAAAAAGATATTGCCTTTTAGATGTTTACTGAAAATAGCAAAAAGTTACGAGCACAGAATACAGAAAAATGTTCTGTGGTAATGAGCATAACATTTATTCTCATATCTAAAAAATACAAAAATAAGTAAAGGACAACTTCTTCCTATAATATAACGATTTTAGATCAACAAACATGTCGGAGAACTCAAGATCTGCGTAAGTACCAATTATTTGTAAGCGCTCTCATAATATAATTAAAATGAAGTGGTTTGCAAACAATGAGAAGATTTTGGAAAGATAACAAAAAATTGGCTCTTACAAAATGCGCAAAAAATTAAAATATCAATGGAATTCATACACCTATATAGATATTTGGCTAATATTTATCTTAAAACAAAAATATACTTACTAGTAATATAAATTCTGAAGTTCAAAATATTTTTATGCATGCCTCTTTTAAGTGACATAAAAAAATATATTTGCCATCAGTTTTGCATGTTAGCCGCTGTATTTCTAAATACTTATAATAAATTTTTACTAGGTTGCCATTATTTAGAGTACAGGCACAAATAATCTAATATTGGAAAAAATTTAAAGAGTCACATTTACGAACTTCAACGTCAAAGTAAAATACTATGACCGTAAATATTTGTTCAATGAAGGCAGAAAAAAAGACAATTTGTCGTATTGAAAAGAAATTATGTCTGCTTCGAGTATCCTCCAAATATATTTTGACCGTCTAAAGAGTTTTATATCGAATTTTATTATATCCTAAAGGTTTTATTTTTAAATAATTTGACTATAAAACTGAGTTCTAGTGATATGGAGGGTACTTGTGCTGAATGGTTCTCGTATAAAGGACAGGAAAGTGAGGTACTTTTCCTCTGTGCCACTATTGTTGTTTGTTTTTTGATCCATATAAATGGAGGTTGAATCGTTGTCAAGGAATAATAAAGAAATAAAAGGAGGTTTTATTCTTTCAACAGATTTTATAGTTTAGTATTCAACGGCCCAGAGTCCTTATTTAATAAGCTTCCTGTGTCTGTCATAGGGTTATATTTTTTGAAAGGTAGAATACCTACTTGTAATTTTCACGTACGTAAATCTACGTGTTAAAGTGTACGTTTGTTGTGTACGTGTTAACTCAAAGTAACGTAGTATTAAAGAAAATTACAATAAGCACTCCCCTTTTGATCTCATCTCATTGATATATACAGATTTATAGGAATATGAAAGAAAGTCTATGGTTTCGTCGTTGCTCGAGTCCGACTCCCTCTTAGCTTTTAACATAATATTTTTTTCGTATGACATTACATTTCAGTTTAACAAGCCTGAGCAAAATGAATAGTACTTTATTTTTGACAATCAACGTTTGCCCAAGGTGTGTCCAGATAAAAGTATGGTGTATAGACTTATTACTCCAGAATGTAAATCTATCAACTCGTATAGTAAGCACTTATGACACCAAGTGGATATTAAACTGTCAAATTAAGTTCAGTTGTACTATTATCTTAAAAAGACATATTAGATCATAGTACATAGACAATGCTGTCGTATATAAAAAGAAAACAAGAGTAATGCTGGAATTTATACATCGTCTTTATCATAGTTTACGGACAATATTTGAAGAAACCTTAGCCGCGTGGCTCTTACGTTTTCAAAAGGTCTGATTCATTTCCAATCGAGTCAATATAGAAAAATTACCTTCATATATTTTATTATGTTAGAAAGTGCTTAAGTTATTTAATTTTGGAACTGAGCGATGTATGTACTGTATAACATTTATTGTTTACTAGCTGTCCACTTCGCCCGCGTGGTTTTGTATGATACAAACACCTTCCTTTTGAATCACTCTATCTATGAAATAAAATCGCATCAAAATCCGTTGCGTAATTGTAAAGGTTTAAGCATACATAGGGCAATAGGGACAGAGAAACCGACTTTGTTTTATACTATGTAATGATAATCACGCGTTGATATATGATTTCATCCAAACATTGTCCAGTTATATAACAATTGGTTGAAGCTATCGCTAAAATACTTTTTAATTTTTAATTTGATTATTACATTTTTATTAAATAAATAAATATATACTTTGTGGTTATACTAAGTTACCAGTATCATTGATGACGAATGACGTCACACGACATTTAAATTCCAGTAATGTTCCCAATGGACCAAAAATTAATCAATAGAGATTGCCCATGGGACTCGTTACTGAACATAGTACAAGAAATTAATGTTAAAACTTACTTCGATAATTCACTAGGTTCCACCCCCAACTCGTCACTGGGACTGATGTCCGATAAGTTGAACGTCTCCTTCATTTTAAATTATCTGGAAAAGGTTAAAAAAAATTCGTTAATGCTTGATTGATGTATGATAAGCTCCAAGAGTGAAATTTCATATCTAATCTAATCTGCCCTAATAGTGTCTCTGTGTGCATTGCTTACTTCGGTAAGTAGCGATTTAGCTTAAAACCGAATTCGTTTTAGCTTTATCAGTTATTTGATAAACATCGGGTTACTATCCTGCTAATATATATATATATATATATATATATATCTATAGTATCTTATCAACACAAATAAAAAAATATATGTTGTAAATATCTTTTTGTGCATAATATTCTTATTCCTCGTAATTTACGCAAACTTTATTTTGAGATGATTATATTTTGGGTTACGTGCTTATATGTTGCCATAATTATCTTTTAGACTCATTTTATTTTAATATAATTTTATATCGCACATATTGATACTAGATATGAAAGATAACAAAAATATATTAAATGGATTCGGTAAGGTTAGAAATGTGACCAATGATCATAATAATAAACGAACCTACTAAGCAAACGAATGTGCCGCAGACAATAATTATATCATTTTAAAAACATATGTATCGCCATGTACCATGTTCTTAAACTTATTTTTTTATTTATTCTTCCAATTATTAGCAAATTATGCTTAAATATTAAATATTCTTCTTTGCCACTACTACATATGTTTAAACATACGCGCAAATATAATTAAGACAAATAAAAGTGTTCCATCTTATATTATACCGGATAAGGAACTATCTAGAACATATACTTATATTTATGGTTATACCTAATGATTGCATTTGATGCGGTGGTATGATGTTTTCATATTTGATTACAGTTAAATTGGATTTTATTTACTTGGTTTTGTATCAATATGCTATTAAGTTGATGCATTTTCATTAGCGTTTACTGTACCACGAGCACAAACTTTACTTTTAAGTTTTGCTCAATAAGAATGAACAAATAATGATGTCTATGATTTCATAGAAGAAATTTTGAAATAGGAGTTCAAATTTAACATAACTATTAACTCTCCTTAAATGAATCTTTTTCTACGTTACAATATGGTATTCACGTGTTTATAATTACATCACACCGGTGGTAAGGTTAGCAGAACAATTTGTTGTGACCCCACCAATTAAGACCCAGTCATGGCTAAAGTACGCTTGCTTCGATGACTCAACAATTTCGGGGTAAAGGATGTCAGAGTTGGCTTTAAGTCAGACTGCTAAGTAAACGGATGTTACCTACTTATACAATTATACAGTGTATGAGGTAGATGGTGCTGTTAACACTTTGCTATTAGGTACGGAAGTAAAGATGGAGTTTACAGCACACATTTTTAACTTTTAATTAGTTCTATTTAAAAAAAAGATGTAATTGACAATTAAATAACCGACATCATATATAATTTGAGTAGCTCAGTGGCGTAGTACATAAGCGCCACGGCCCGCGATCGTTGTTGCTAAGCAATTTTCGCAAGGGTCGGTTACGGGATGGTTGACCAAAAAACTATTATCTCGAGCTACTCCGTGCTTCGGAAGGCACGCTAAGCCGTTGGTCTCGGCTGCATTTGCAGTCGTTAATACCCATCAATCCGCATAGGGCCTGCGTGGAGGATCATGGCCCATCCTCCTTAACCATAAGGATATAAGGAAGGCCTGAGTCCCTGCAGTGGGGACGTAAAAAGGGCTGATGATGCTGATGATGATGATGATATATAATTTATGTGTATCTGTGATCACAAATTTAAGGTTTCGCTATAATCAAATTTCGTAAATCGTATTAGTTTGCGAGTAATTAATTTAATGTAGATTATAACGGGCAATGTGATACCGTCTGTTCTTGACTATCTTATTGACAGATACAATGAGTTTTTTCGTTTTTTTTATGGCCAACAAAAAATTTAATATCTCGGAGGAACTCCTCTGTTAAGGAGTTGGTCCTTGCTACATCTGCTGGGTATGGAGGTTGGTATGGCACGTTTCGCAAGGTAATTTTCGTCTATAGAAGACCTGTACCACTGCAGTAGGTGCATCAATGAGCTGATATTGATTACTACAATGGATATTCTCATAAGATATTTTTTGTCTCTAAAAAGTATCAAATGTCACTCATCAGCCACCTAATAAAAAACATCCTATGCTATATTGAGACGCGAATGTAAAGGCAGCATATACAAACCAACACTTTCCCGTACATAATATTAGTTTGAATTTTATTAATGTAGTTAAATCAATTTCAATCCATGCTCACAGAATAGGGCTTCCAATCTCGGAATACTAAGTTTTCCGTATTGCGGGTATCCACTCTTTGCCCGTATTGCGAGATTACAGGTGCGTGATCCGCAAGATTTGCGGGACTGGAAAGACATGAGGCGTTTCGGAGCGCGATCATTCGGTGGCAAGCGGAGTGCACCGGACGAAATACCTTATTAAAGTCATAATAACTTCTGTTAACGTTTAGTTGAAAATGTTATTTTCATTTACTAGTAGTGTATTTTGTAGTTGAAAGATTTTTCTTTTTTCTTCTATTTCAGCTTTCAATGATAAATAACGGGATTCCGCCAATACGAAGACTTGGAGGATTGGAAGCCCTATCACAGAAGGCGTTTATCCGACGAGTTAACTATTATACATCGATCAACAATATGTTCACGGAACAGTGGCTATGGAGGCAATGGAAACACATAACAACCATGGCTATCAGCGAGGTCAACAGTGGTGAACCCTGTCGCGCCTATGTGGCCCAAAAGCATGTATACACTAACACTCGTATATATAGCCAAGAGAAGTAATTACTTGAGAAAATGGCATAACTTAAGTAGATATTTTTAACAGATTGACGAGAATTCGAATGAAATAAGAAATGTTAATTCTTATTAATTGGATTCTTGTTTATTTATTAAAATATTTGCTTAAGTATTTACTTTTACTAAACTACAGATACGGGTGTAGCAAGTTTAAACCATTATCCGACCAAAATAAGTCAACGCGTCTCAATTTGACGTTTCCTCTACTGTAATTGTTAATTTGCTTTATACCAACGGTTTAAACCAAATTATATATAACTTAAGTCTTGGTTTTATTACAAGATAGTATAAGTTTTTCTTTGCTTCTTTGCCTCCAGCTCGTCATCGAACGCAGCACTACAGCGATAAAGAAATAAAACCTTCTAAAGTTGAAGTGAGATGGTAGTTAGGTTCCTTGATTGAATTTTTATGACTTGAGAAAGCCCATTTCGACGAGTTATTCGAGATTGTTTTTATAACACTACTAAATATCGTGCGTATCTTATTAAGATGCAAATGCAGCACAAAATACGGACAGAATATCAAATGTCTTTGTATTAAAATAAAATAACAATGCAAGCTTTTATAAACAAGCAATTGGTTCCTTCTTGGTCGGTAGTATGTAATAATCGATTTAATATTAAGTCTAGGCTGTCAATAAGTAATAAAAGCTTTCAGAATAGTTGATATACTTATGACAGAATTTTGAATGTCTTTGTATTAAAATCTAAATTATATATAAAACTCTATGGAGCGTATTATTGGTGGCGTCATTCGGTCGAAAATGTGTATACATCTTTACGTTCCGCCTGGCAGCGGTCACATGTGACTGGGTTCGGTACAAAAAGTCTTGCTGTCCACAATAACAATACTCTTGGTTCGTTCATTAAACGTGTTCAAAAGAAACACCCATAAGTTTATTGGAATAATATTATTTGTCCGAAAAAATTAATGCGTACCTATCGAACTTATTTTAGCTGTGACTCACTGTGAAAGTCATTAAAATTTTAAACTGTCAAAACCACCAAAACTACAATTGTTAATATCATTAAAAATGACAGCTTCCTGCAAAGAGAATTTAAGCACTACGTTTTAGTTTCCTTTGTTTCAGTCATTAAAAATCGATGGCACCATTAGCATAAACAAAACAAGGTGTAAATATCTGAGTAAATTTATACTATGACTTTAGCCAATACTCATATTATTAAGGTGAGACTAAGCGATGATCTATGTCGAATTTTGATTAGCACTAACTTTTGTATATGTAACTACATAAGCTATTTTTAATCTAAATATATATAACTCAAAGGTGACTGACTGACATAGTGATCTATCAACGCACAGCCCAAACCACTGGACGGATCGGGCTGAAATTTGGCATGCAGGTAGATTTTATGACGTAGGCACTCGCTAAGAAAGGATTTTGATCAAATCTACCCCCAAGGGGATAAAATAGGGGGTGAGAGATTGTATGAAACTTTGTCAATTTCAAACCGAACGGGCTGAGACTTCGCATGCATAATGCTACTGTAACGTGGGCATCCCCCAAGAAAGGATTTCGATAAATTTCAACCCTAGGGGGATAAAATAGGGGATAAAACTTTATTTCTGGTAATTTACACGATATAATAAATAAATATCCGTAGAAATGCTGCTCACAGTAACTTTACGACGCGGACGAAGTCGCGAGCAACAGCTAATTATTAATAAATATTATTGATTAAAACTTAGAAATGAAGCATAGGAAACTGACACTTTTTTATGACATTGTTTATTTGGATTTTTGGTTTATTTGGATCTTAGATTTCGAGTCTCAATTTTTAAAGACAAATGTTTCGTTACATTTACAGTGGCCCACAGCAGTTTGATACCCTTAAAATATTGATTTTAAGCATAAAGCTTAAAGTGGATACATTATTGACATAGTATATTATTATTAATTACAGGTTCATGCTGCGTCTTAAGTATTTTGCACCCAGCAATCCGTGGTGGGTTATGGACCGTTCTGCCTTTGTGATTTTATTCATGGAAAGAAGCTGAGAGATTCGTGAATAAATGTTTTCAAAAGTTAAAGGTTTTTACAATATTTTGTTATAAAGTGAAGTGCATATAGTCGTAATGGTCGTCCATAAACTCAAGTTAGGTAAATTGGAATCAGGGGCGTAGCTACCGCCGGATCTGCCGTATCGATTATATGGGTCCGCCGGGCCACGGGGACCCCAA